AATAAATATCCGTGCAGTGTTTCTTGTACAGACAGGGCTATAGAAGTCAAAAGCAAATGTTTCATGTTTGTCAAAACAGCGTTCTTTTTCCACGTTGGGACTACAGTGGTACCTCGGGTTAAGTACTTAATTCATTCCGGAGGTCCGTACTTAACCTGAAACTGTTCTTAACCTGAAGCACCACTTTAGCTAATGGGGCCTCCGGCTGCTGCCGCGCCGCCGGAGCACGATTTCTGTTCTCATCCTGAAGCAAAGTACTTAACCTGAAGCACTATTTCTGGGTTAGCGGAGTCTGTAACCTGAAGCGTGTGTAACCTGAAGCGTATGTAACCCGAGGTACCACAGTATTGTGCTTTCTCTCCACCCCCACCCCTTTTAAATAATGGAAAGCCTAGCTGCTTTAACATCAAATACAGCATTGCATTTTTCAAGGCGGCCCTGGCATGCCTCAGTAATTAGAGAGGCTGCAAAATTGTGCTCTAGTGGGCTACAAATAGTCAAGAATAAAGGTGCCCAAGCCTGATCAATGATGAGGCAAAGCAACTTCATATGAGTCCACCCAACCCAGTATTGTCTACACTGCTCTCCAGGCAGAAGAGTTTCTTAGGCATACTACCTAATGCCTTTCTTTCTAGCTGGGGATGCCAGAGATTGAACCTGTCCCATGTAACTCATGTGCATCAACTCTAGTCTATTTGTCTTTTCTTTGTGGAAACAGGCAGCTTAGTCTCTTGAGTAGGTTTAGGCAAACTCGGCCCTCCATAGAATCATAGAATCATAGAGGTGGAAGAGACCACAAGGGCCATCGAGTCCAACCCCCTGCCAAGCAGGAAACACCATCAGAGCACTCCTGACATATGGTTGTCAAGCCTCTGCTTAAAGACCTCCAAAGAAGGAGACTCCACCACACTCCTTGGCAGCAAATTCCACTGTCGAACAGCTCTTACTGTCAGGAAGTTCTTCCTAATGTTTAGGTGGAATCTTCTTTCTTGTAGTTTGGATCCATTGCTCCGTGTCCGCTTCTCTGGAGCAGCAGAAAACAACCTTTCTCCCTCCTCTATGTGACATCCTTTTATATATTTGAACATGGCTATCATATCACCCCTTAACCTCCTCTTCTCCAGGCTAAACATGCCCAGCTCCCTTAGCTGTTCCTCATAAGGCATCGTTTCCAGGCCTTTGACCATTTTGGTTGCCCTCCTCTGGACACGTTCCAGTTTGTCAGTGTCCTTCTTGAACTGTGGTGCCCAGAACTGGACACAGTACTCCAGGTGAGGTCTGACCAGAGCAGAATATCCAGATGTTTTGGGACTACAATTCCCATCATCCCTGACCACTGGTCCTGTTAGCTAGGGGTGATGGGAGTTGTAGTTCCAAAACATCTGGAGGGCCGAGTTTGCCTATGCCTTCTCTTGAGGTTTCTTGGAAAAGGCTACTAACTGGCCTTCAAGAACAGTTGTTAGCAAATGGGCAAAGGCAAGACTGAGTAAGATAATAATGTGTAAAAGATACATTGCAGTAACTTAGCCAGCGCAACAATAAACAAAAGAAATGTCACATTTGAAATATTGTTAAAAATTAAATGTTTGGATCTGCCTCTGGATCTTGTCATGTTTGTGCAGTATATGTGAATGATGATTAAAACCTCATTTATGTGCCTTACATCTCAGGACTATATTAATCCATTTATTCTCAGTGTTGCTGATTGCATCCATTATTATATGCATCCATTATTAGCTGCATTCCTTGCCACTGTACTGTGGATGCAATCTAAGATTCTTGGTTTAACATCATGCTTTCTAGTTTCTTGGGAAATTAATTCTTGTGTCTGCCTTGGCGATACTAATAAAACAAGATGATGTGAAAGCAGGAATCCTCTCCTTTCTTTAAGAAAAAAAAAGTCAGACGCTTGATTTGCTTTATATCAGACCTTTGTCTTTCCTCAACTTGTTCTTAGGCCTTGTAAAGGTAGATTTTGGTGTAAATCAGAAATAATTAACCTGTGGCCATTCAGATGTTGATGGACACATAACTTCCACCAGCCAGGGTGGTCTGTACAACATCTGGAGAGAAACATGTTCCCTGTCGCTGAAGGGCTAGTGTTTCCTCTGTCATATTACTGGTTTTGTAAAACTTTTCTTTTCCTTTCTGAAATTGATTCTCTTGGTCTTGTAGGCTTGCTGGTAGATAACTTTGACAATTATATGGTTCAGACTTTAATTTCAGAAGTTATTTGATGTCATTTTTTCTAGTGAGTATATCCCTGCTTAGAATATATTTCCTAAGGATAAAAGGAACTAGCTAACAAAATGAATTTCAATAGGGACAAATGTAAGGTTCTGCACTTAGGCAGGAAGAACAAGATGCACAAATATAGGATGGGGGACACCTGGCAGTACATGTGAAAAGGATCTCGGAGTCTTGGTGGACCGCAAGCTTAACATGAGACAACAGTGTGATGCAGCAGTAAAAAAAAGCTAACGCTATTCTAAGCTGCAACAACAGAAGTATAGTGTCCAGATCAAGGGAAGTAATAGTACCACTCTATTCTGCCTTGGTCAGACCACACCTGGAATACAGTGTCCAGTTCTGGGCACCACAATTTACGAAGGATGTTGACAAGCTGGAACGTGTGCAGAGGTGGGCAACCAAGATGATCAAGGGTCTGGAAGCTAAGCCTTATGAGAAGCGCTTGAAGGAGCTGTGTATGTTTAGCCTGGAAAAGAGGTGACTGAGGGAGCATGCTTGTTTTCTCCTGTTCTGGAGGGTAGGAATCAAACAAATGGCTTCAAGTTTACAAGAAAGAAGATTCTGACTAAACATTTGAAAAAACATTCTGATAGTCAGAGCTGTTTGGCAGTGGAACAGATTCCCACGCAAGGTGGACTCTCCTTCCTTGGAGGTTTCTAAGCAGAGGTTGGGTGGCCATCTGCCATGGATGCTTTAGCTGAGATTCTTGCCTTGCAGGGGGTTGGACTCGATAACCCTTGAGTCCCTTCCAACTCTAAGATTCTATTATTCTAGTTATCTTCTTTCATTAAGAATGTAAGAACATGAGACAAGCCTGCTGGATCGGGTCAATGGTCCTTTTGGTCCAACATGGTTCATCTAGTCTCACAGTGGCCAGTCATATGTTTTGGGAAAACCTGCAAGCAGGATATGAGAGCAACAGTACTCTGCCCACTAGTGATTCCAGCAACTGGTATTCAGAAGCACAGTGCCTCTGAAAGTGGATGTAACATTACCCATTATTACAGACGGTTATCCAAAAAATCAGATTGGAAAGTAAATTTTGAGGTTGAATCCTGACAAGACAGAAGTACTGTTTTTGGGGGACAGGAGGCGGGCGGGTGGGTGTGGAAGACTCCCTGGTCCTGAATGGGGTAACTGTGCCCCTGAAGGACCAGGTGCAGCCTGGGAGTCAGTCTGGACTCATAGCTGTCCATGGAGGCACAGGTCCATTCTGTGTCCAGGGCAGCTTTTTATCAGCTCCATCTGGTACGCAGGCTGAGACCCTATCTGCCTGCGGACTTGTCTCGCCAGAGTGGTACATGCTCTGGTTATCTCTCTCTTGGACTACTGCAATGCAATCTATGTGGGGCTACCTTTGAAGGTGACCCGGAAACTACAACTAATCCAGAAGGCAGCAGCTAGACTGGTGACTGGGAGCGGCCGCCGAGACCATATAACACCAGTCTTGAAAGACCTATACTGGCTCCCAGTATGTTTCTGAGCACAATTCAAAGTGTTGGTGCTGACCTTTAAAGCCCTAAACGGCCTCGGTCCAGTATACCTGAAGGAGCGTCTCCACCTCCATTGTTCTGCCCAGACACTGAGGTCCAGCGCTGAGGGCCTTCTGGCGGTTCCCTCGCTGCGAGAAGCCAAGTTACAGGGAACCAGGCAGAGGGCCTTCTTGGTAGTGGCACCCGCCCTGTGGAACGCCCTCCCACCAGATGTCAAAGAGAAAAATAACTACCAAACTTTTAGAAGACATCTAAACGCAGCCCTGTTGAGGGAAGCTTTTAATGTTTAATAGGTTATTGTATTTTAGTGTTTTGTTGGAAGCCGCCCAGAGTGGCTGGGGAAACTCAGCCAGATGGGCGGGGTAGAAATAATAAATTATTATTATATTATTATTATCCCGTGGATTTATAGTTCAGCTGAGCCCTATAAATCCAGGGTGATGTCTTTAGATATCTACAAAACATTTCCTCTTTTCTACAGATGCGACTTCTGAGTTGTTGTTGTTTAATTCCTCGTGAAGCACATGTAGTGACCGATGTCTCATCATACATCAAATTCTTTTGGTGAGTACTCCATTAAAATGGCTTGATCCATTCTCATGATTAATTGTGGCGCTCAAGATTGTCATTCGCAGCATGTTATGCAAGAGTCAAACTGTATTACAGAGCTCAACGTTTTGGATCTCTTGGGTCTTATTTCTCTAATCACAGAAATTGTGATATACCCTCTCCCAGGTTCTCGCAAGTTGAGCTCTGGTGGCCAGTTTGCACAATTACTTAACGGTACAATCTGATTCCCTGTTGCCTAGGATCTCTTGGAGCGCAACAGCACTTACTTCTAAGCAAAGATGTGTAGAATCAGGCTTCAAGCCAGCAACCTCTTAGATTGCTGTAAGTGATCCAAGAGTTAAGTCCAAAGTTCAATTGAGTTAAAAAGCTAGAGGCTTATATCTGTCAACACAGGCTTTGGCCCTTAACTTTGCACTGCAAGAATGTTCTCTGGAATACTCAGAGCAGCGAAATGTGCTTGGGTAATTTAGGGCAAAAAGCACAATCAGTCCACACACTGTTTTTAAATTATTTTTAAAAATATTGATTGAAAATATAACAAAAGGAAATAATATAAAATAAAAACATTGCATGCTGGCATTAAACAATAATAATACTCTATCAATACTAATTAAAACGTATAGATTAATCATAGCTGGAATGTAATAAGTCATTCCATCCAAAACAGGAGAGGGAAACAGAGGTTCCATAGGAAGGGAAGGTTGTTGCACATAATTCAGCTTAGCTTGCTTCCACACAAGCTGTTTTCTTTTCTGCTTTTTGATGTATTCATCTAGTTAATGCTGTTGTAATGAGGTTGTTGTCAACGTAGGAGGTGGGGTAGTCTAGGAGAGCCTGCTTATACCTTCCTGTGCACAACTGCTGCACAACAGTATACCTCTGCTGGTCTAGCTAGTTACAAACAGGCTTCTGGTCTGCAGACGATGGCAGATGGTTGGTGCCCACTGGGATTGGGAGGCAAGGAGGTCAACAGCAGGTGAAACCAGAGCCCATGACAGGCAGATCCAACAAATTCTGGTTTTGTCCCCCTCCTCCTTCTTGCTAAGTTCTACATGAGAGCAACCATGTCATTCTGTCGAATGTATAAACTTATAATTGTTTTATGCTTGATTTCTTAATGTTATTATATGACTTGGTATGTTCAGCTTTTAAATGGCTCGGGCATTGTAACTGTGTTGTTTTGTGCTTTAACTGTGATTTTTAAAAAATTGCTGTTGATTAAATATATTGTTTGAAAGCCACTTTGGAATTCACTTAAATGGAAAGTTGCAGGGAAGTGCAATAAATCCAATCATAAATCAACTCAGAGCCAGCGAATGAAACTTTTGAGTGTAGGAAATTTCCAAAATTATTGCTGCTTGTTGCAAGAATGAAAGGCCTTTCCAGATAACTAGCACTTGCAGAGTGTGTGGAAGTCATTTATTACGATTAGGATTATCATCATCATCATCCTCAAAGCAAGGTGTATTTCATTTAAGTTTCAGCTATTACATGCCTGTTTTCAATTAAGTTAGTCAACGATCCCTAATGCCACAAATAAGATCTAACGAGGTCTGAATTGGAGTTTTCCTGCTATATGTACACTAAATCAAGGATCATGGTTCATAGGATCTTTCTGTGTTGGGTGAAGCCTGCAACAATCTCTTGCAGTATCAAATCCTTTCCCTTGACAATACAAATCTTTAAAATCTCTTTGAACTTGATCCTCCCCAGATGTCGATCATATATGTTGCTTTGATGCAATAGGGAAAATTGGAGAGTCTTTAAATACGTAGCTTATTTGGTATGTAGATCTGTATATTCACACATTCAGCCATTGGTGTTTTGTATTTTGACGTCCTGGACTTTAAAAAAAGAGGAAGACATTCTGACTTAAGATTTACTCTAGGCATGATCCACCCTTTCAAAATGTATGTAGACAATGAGTACAGTGCAGTTTCCTCAAATCTACCATAAGCAGCTGTGCTTGCTTACAATCTAAACAGAAAATTTAAGGTTTTTAAAAAATAAAAAACAGGCTGTTTATTTATATACTCCAAATATTAAGAAATTTATACATTCTATAACTTTGACAAAGGTTTTGGATTGTCATTTGTGACGTTAATTATATTAGACTTGAATTTGGAGTACTGTCATATCCAAAGAAGGTCCCTCTGCAGGAACATGTAATTCCTGCCTCCTTATATCCAATTGTACAATTGGCCGACATGGGTGTATGGGTGTGTGTGTTTCCTTTGTACGTTCTGTCTTCCCTTTTTGCTGCTAAGGAATTTTCATAAAATCCATTCGATAAACCAGGAACACTGTTTTCTCCGGTTCACAGGGCTGGCCCAATACATTTTGCTGCCTGAGGCAGAGCAGCAAACAGGGCTGGTTCTAGAATAAATAGCAGCACCCAGGGCAAGGCGTGCCTTTTGTAGGGACCAAAACAGTTAAATCGTTGGGTTAAGTTGTCTTTGAAGAAAGATTGCTCGATGGAAAGAAAACAATGCCATATTTGACGTGACTGAAAGGGATAAGCAAGCTGTGTTATGGATAAGAAAACAATTTGGAAACATCGGGAGATGGAAAATGCAACAATTCATTCTGTAGAAGCCTCAAAGAGATTAAGCACTTAAGCATAGCTAATAGTATAAAATAGGGTAGCAACAAAGGGGACTAACTGTGTGTGTCAAAAGGTATAATGGGGGTTATTGGTTTGCTTCGTATTTGTTCTTGTTATTATTATTTATTTTGTGTTTTTTTACCTTGTGAACCGTCCTGAGATCTAGGGGTGAAGGGCAGTATGCAAATTTAATTAGTAATAATAATAATAATTAAAAATTAGAATTAAAATAATTAAATGTTAATTAATTAATTAAAATTAAAATAATTAAAAAACGGCATTTCCATGCGCTGCTCTGGTTCACCAGAAATGGCTTAGTCATGCTGGCCACATGACCCGGAAGCTGTACGCCGGCTCCCTCAGCCAATAAAGCGAGATGAGCATCACAACCCCAGAGTCAGCCACAACTGGACCTAATGGTCAGGGGTCCCTTTACCTTTTTAATAATAATAATAAATTGCTAGTTGATTAGTGATACTGAAATGATGCTTTATGACTGTGTTGAACTAACATAATGAAGGCGGGTGTATTTGATGATATTACGTTGCTTTATCTATGCTTGCATTGCATTTGAATCCTTTGTAATAAATGTTATAAATGTTAATACTGACCTGCTAAAGTTAGAACCCACCTTCTCAGTAGCACCTTTAGAAATAATCCAGCAGTTATTCCATTCATCCGTTCACCCAACGATTCTCAACTCACTTGGCCAAAGGTGAGTAATGGACGCTGCAGTTGTACGCATGATTGGAAACTTTGGTCATGCCAGAGTTCCTGCTTACGCGCATGTAGACCTTACGTAAGTACAGATCAAGATGTAGCAGGCCTCCAAGTCTTAACATAAAGAAACTAAACAATGCTTACGAAGTCACCATATATTTCATAATTGCTACCTGTTTTTCCTCATTAGTTTTGCTTGCCTCTTTGCTGCTCCACATAATTTAATAATATCCTATAAATCACCCCGTCATTAGTACAAATAGAAGGGCTTTAATTCTCCTGAGGAAATTATTCAGTTTCCTACTGGGACTAATCTGAAAGAAGGTATTAATAGAGAGAACCAATGTTCATCTAATTTCCCTTGCTGTTAATTAATACATGAAGGAGAGCTTTATTTCCTAGTGTAGATTTTCTTCAAACTAGATTTCAGAAATCATAATCTTTAATTTTGTGATGGAATGTCTTAATGCTTACGTAATTTGTGGCATTATAAGAGAAAGAAGCTAATCTGCTTCGGCTAATTTTATCTAAATAGCAGTTTTTTTAAAAGTGCACTTAAAGGGCTCTTTTCATTGCGACCTTTTGAGACAGACATCTCATTCCTTCCTTCCCCTCGCTTCATCCTTCCATACTGCTTGTTCCAGGTGCTCTGCTTTGAATGGCTGGATCCAGCAACAACAACAAATGGGAAGGAAAAGCTGCTTATAAAAGACTGTCTTTACTTAATTGACTTGAACCACTGTATGCAGTAAGGGACGCGGGTGGCGCTGTGGGTTAAACCACAGAGCCTAGGACTTGCCGATCAGAAGGTTGGTGGTTCAAATCCCTGTGATGGGGTGAGCTCCCATTGCTCGGTCCCTGCTCCTGCCAACCTAGCAGTTCAAAAGCACAAAGTTCAAGTAGATAAATAGGTACTGCTCCAGTGGGAAGGTAAACGGCGTTTCCATGCACTGCTCTGGTTCGCCAGAAGCAGCTTAGTCATGCTGGCCACATGACCTGGAAGCTGTATGCCGGCTCCCTCGGCCAATAAAGCAAGATGAGCGCTGCAACCCCAGAGTCAGTCACGACTGGACCTAATGCTCAGGGGTCCCTTCACCTTTACCTTTACCTACTGTGTGCAGTGGTGAAATCAGGGTAAGACCTTGGGGTAGAAGTCTAGGACCTCACTCAGCAGAATAAGCAGCAGCCTTCCCAAATGCAGCAGGGTTCATATCCTCCATCATCTCTCTGACGAAAACAGGGACATCCTATTCCATAATAATAGTAATAAAAAGGTTTATTATTATATAATGCCACCCATTAAACATTAAAAAACCTTCCCCATTCAGATGTTTTCTCCTTGGTTTGGGGGAGCCACAAAACTGCACACCCTCCAACATTTCTCCGTTGAAAATAGGAACGTCCTACCATAGGGAAAAAGCAGGACATTCAGGGATCAAATCAGAAACTGGGACGGCTTCTGTAAATCCGTGGCTGTCCTTGGAAAATGGGGACACTTGGGGAGGGTCTGAGGGTTGTCTCCCTACATTTGGAATTAATATACGTTATTTTTCTAAAGGTGGATTCCCCATAAGACCATTTCAAAGTCTAAAATTACAGAACTGCACCATTGTAAGAGTTAAGAAGTAACCATAACAAATGCTTTTAAAGTACGCTGAAGGGCCATTGTATTGTCATGCCTGAAGAACTGTAACAATTATTAGAATATTGTGACATTTCTAGTAAAGTTATTACCATACTGCGGCTTTTGAATTGCTAGCGTCTGCTGTTCTACAAGGGTTTTCAGACATATGCATACATGTGCCTATAAGTCCATAATAACAGGGGTTAAATCAAACACGCACAGAGAGATCACCTCTCTTCTGTAAATATGGAATAAAAGAGAGAAAGAACACAATAAAATCTAAGCAAGAGGTGCTGGAGAGTCAGACGCCCACACTCTTGCAATTGCCAAGCAACCTGAAAAGAAAACCTGTCCAAGTAAGAAGATTTTTGTGCTAAATATGAAGACTTCTGGAACAGCAGTCTGTTGCAAAATTGCTGCTTCCAGGAAAGGCGATACACCCACATTGGAACATCAACAAGCTAAACAGGCCACTTGTAACATGGTTTTATCATCAATGAGCAGCAGGAAAAGTTTAGCTTAGAAGAATCCTAGAACGCTTTTCACCCCTCGCCACCCATTCATTTCCAGGCCTAAGCATAAGGGGTTGGTTCTCGCTTTTAAAACTCTAAATGTAGACATCCTTTCCCTTTGTGTTTCTCCGCAGCCAAGTATTGTACAGTGGTACCTCGGGTTAAGTACTAATTCATTCCGGAGGTCCGTTCTTAACCTGAAACTGTTCTTAACCTGAAGCACCACTTTAGCTAATGGGGCCTCCTGCTGCTGCCATGCCGCCGGAGCACAATTTCTGTTCTCATCCTGAAGCAAAGTTCTTAACCCGAGGTACTATTTCTGGGTTAGCGGAGTCTGTAACCTGAAGCATATGGAACCCGAGGTACCACTGTATTCAACATCTCTCCTGTAGATTCCTTCCCTAGCTGAAGTATGGTAGGTATCTATAAGAACAATATGGTAATAATATAAGAATAAGGCTTTTGTTGTGGTGGAGAGAGTGGGTTAGCCACAATACACACACACTTTTCTTTAAACCTGCCATTTTATGCTAGTCTGATATATTGGAAAACGTGTGTGTGTGTGTGTGTGTGTGTGTGTGTGATGGCCATGCACACAGGTAAACAAATACCTGTATTCATGTCCACCAAGGACCTCAGGTTGCCAGGGGAGGGTGTGGAAGTACTAATTGAAGGGTTGGGGCAACAAAACTCAATGCAAATACATCCCATCAACCAATGCCTACTGGTGTGGACAGGTTCAATGGAAAGCTCTCGTGTATGAATGAACATGCACAAAAGCACAAACAGAAAAATTGGATCAATGTGACTCAGCTGCACATTGACACTTTGGTGTGTACACAGCCTTAACATAAAAAGAGTGTTGTTTGTCTGGTAATGTGGGTTGTATATTAATTAAAACTAGTTTTCTCCACTGAAAGAGGATGACGAAATGAATAATCATACATTATCCATTGTTATATCTTTGCAATAATTTTTGTGTGCGCCTCTAGCTGTAAAAGTGCTTTGCGATAATATACTTGCACTTCTAGGTCAGACATATGTCTTAAGAGACTGGACTCTATATCCTATGAAATTAGATTGGATTAGAGTAATCCAGTGTTTGTGTGCAGCAAGCACAAGATGAGGCCATCCAGTGTTTTGCGGCTGTTAGAATTACCAAGTGAAGACTGTGCACTGATGAAAATGAGAAAACACCTTCAAGTTGTGTTTGGAAAAAACTGGAGAGAAAAAGCGGGGTGAGGTGGGGGAATCCACACAGTCTTTATGTGAAGGCTACTAAATTTACAAGGCAAATATAATATATAAAATAGTCCTTCCGAAGCTAACAGCAACATATGGACAAGTAGAGATTTATCATACATATTTGTAGTTTGGTTTTAGTTGCAGGTCTTGATAAGGATTAGAAGCTGATTCTTCTGGATATGGGTCAGAGTAATCTAAGAAGGCTGCTGGCCCTGCCCTTTCTCATTGGAAGACTTTCCATTAGTGGAGCTAAAAAAAGCAAACTAGCCTTATACAGAATTCCCTCTGTCCCCAGACTTGACTATTATTTAGTAGGAAAACATCACTCTAACTGCCAATGTAGCAAATTTCACCAGATGAGAAGTCCCATCAAGATAGCCTGGAAACCATAGCCATTTGCAGAGAAAAGGGAAATACAGCAATTCATCAAAATAACCAACTGGATAGCTCAGCTGATTAGATCATGGTGGTGGTAATGCCAAGGTTGCAGGTTTGATCCCTGAAATATACTCAGGGTCCTGCAGTGATTTCATGCTCTTTATTGCAGCTTGTAAAATTGTGATTGAATTGACCCCCAAACCTCAGGCATTTATATACATTATTTACACAATGAGTCCCGTCTGATTGGCTGATTCTGCTTCCCTCCTGGAGCCTGATTGGTCCTCTCCTACAGGCCAATCAGTTGTTGCATTCTACGATCCTACCAGCCTAATAGGCTGATTCACTGCCTCCTGGAGCCTGATTGGTCTTCTCCTGCAAGCCAACCAGTTGTTGCATTCTAGGATCCTACCTGCCTATTGTTCTAGGATCCAAGCTTAGTACATAACAATCCCCATATGGAACAGCTGCATATTCCTGCATCCCAGGAGTTTGGACTAGATGGTCTTCAGGGTCCCTTCCGACTCTACAATACTATGATTCTATGAAAATGGGAAGGCTGTAAGTCAAGACACACTGGACTGTCTCAGTAGAAGCCTTCCTTAATCCAACATGACGATGACCTCGCATACCTGGGGCATCTCTTGCAAAGACTGAGTCCAACCGAGAGCTACTAAAGGACACTTTGCCGGGTATTTTAGCAGTCGGGTGTAGTCCTTCTTGGAGCCATGAGTGCTCTGCATGTGAAGCTTTTGCAAGTCACTCTTGTGGCAACAGCAGGAGAACTGAAAGAGTTCTGCTAACAATCTGCTAAATCAGAAAGATTTCTCTCCCCAGCCACCCCCCTTCCATAGTAGCATATCTATGACAGTGGTTGGTTAGACCTGAGTGAATCTACCTTTCATTTTGAGCAGGGCGTGATTGGCATATCAAACACACTGCTATGTGTTGCTGCTTTCATGTGCAATGTTTATAGAACCTATTGAACACTGGAGTACAGCACTGCTCTCACACTTCACCTTACAGTTTTGGGATCCTGCACAGCGGATATAACTGAAAACAGTGGTCTAACCCTCCTCCAAGAACTCTGCCTGAATGGCCAGGGCTGTGCAAAGCTGGGAATAGGTCCAGGCCAGGTGGGAAAGGTAGACCCCATCTCAATAATGTATACCAAAGGGTCCCCCTTTGCCTCTATCAGGAGGGCTTGGAGTAGCCCCCCTCAAAATCATAGTCCCGTGCCAATTGGCTCACCAGATCCCAGCTCTGTTCTGGCCTTTGAATGGCACTTCAGTATCTAGCATAAGGGTTAGGAAGAGAGGAGCCAACTCAGGGATGTGGAACCTGTAGCTCTGCAAATGTTCTCGGACTCCAACACCCGTCAACTCCAGCCAGCATGGCCAATGGTCAAGGATCATGGGAGTTGCAATCCAGCAACATCTGGAGGGCCACAAGTTCCACATCCCTGAAATACACACACACACACACACACACACACACACACATACTTGTGCATCTGGCATTTTTGTTACATCCAGACTCCAGTGTTCCCTTTTTCCTTCCTTTGGGGACAAAAATAAATGCTGACCTTTGTTTCAGCTTACCTAATATCCTTATTTAGGTCTTGCCGTGGTGTTAATTTCCTATAAACAGAACATGCTTATGAGGTTATAGACCTTAGAAGCTAGAACCAACATTTTGCTTGTTGATTTAATTGACTGCAATATTTATATTGCAATGTTAATGAAACTACTTTTTAGGTTACAGTAATCTAATGTGTTCAGATCTGGTTAAGATCAATTCCTGTGTTGTTTCCTTGAGAGCTTTTAAGCCAAGCTACTGAATGTGTATATGTTAACTCTTTGAGCTGTTGGTGGGACAGAGGTTGGGAACCGACAAAGTGATGATTCTCAGGATACTCAAATCCGCTCTCTGCAAATACTGATAATTGAGAGTCTTATAGCTGTATATATTGAGTATGTGGTGATAGCTAATAATTTCCAGGGATATTAGGTAGGTTTTGTCCTGGGGTAAAGCTGGGGAAACCCAAAACCCATTTATGTTGGCTTATCTAGTGACCCTCAAGGGTGTCAGATTAAAGGAGAGGGGTATGGACTCTCTAAAGGACTCTGGGGGCATGTCACACTGTCCATCTGCTTGATTTGGCTGTTTTTGAAAGCAAGTTTAAGAACTTACAGGGGCATCACAGAATTAATCTTAGCCATGTCAACTCTTTTATTTTTCTCAGGCAATAAGAAGAAATGTCCAGAAGTTAGTGGAATGACTAATGATGAAATACTGCATTTTTGACATTAGCTATTTCCTTATGATTAATTTCACTTACTGTCATCTTTTATATAAAATAACTCTAATGGGGGAAAAGTACGTATTCATTTATAAGGAGAACAAGCTACAATTACAAAGGAATGTATTGTAGCTACCAGCATTTTATCGGTTGGTATTCAGAGCATCAATTACAATAAAAGCAACACATTAAGAAAGATCGTTCTGGATCTTGGGATAATTTAGCCTGAAGAAGCTGAACGAGGGATTTGAAATTCGGCTGGAATTTAGAATGATTATCTGCCATTACTTAGCTCCTGCATGCTTTCTGGATCTAAGTATACCCCCAACAGAAGTTGGTTACCCATAATCTGAATTTTATGGCTCTGAAACCTGACCTAGATCTCTGTAGTCCTGACTTTCTCCCCTCTAAGGCTTAAAGTCCAACATTTAAATTATCACTGGCTTTTCAATCTTTGCCTCCTCCTTCCCAATTGGCTAATTTTGTTTCCTCGCGGTTATTGAGCTGTACATTGCTCTCTTTTTTAATCAGAATGGTTAGAAGCTAACAGAACACATTCCTGAGAAATTAATGTCCAGAGATCCCTGCTCATTACAAGAATTCTGGCCTAGTTAAAACTGCAAAATCCTCTGCCCCAACCATCCCTACACGCATGGTCTCATGAAAGAGGCAAAGGCTGTGCTACAGGGTAGTGGGGGGAGGAGGAAGAGAATCTCAAATGTGAATAAGAATAAAGATTTCATGGCCCAATGCGTTAAAAAAAAACAAAACACCCTCTGGGAGCACTCTGATGTACAACAGTAGCCCTAGCCCTCTTATGTGCTCAAGCTTCACAGGACTGAAGGAGACAGCAGGAGCAAGTTTTTTGGGTCTGCTCCTTCCATCATGTCCTGGCTTCACTGCTTTCCATGTACAGTAGTACCTCGGGTTACAAACACCTCAGGTTACAAACACTTCAGGTTACAGACTCCACTAACCTGGAAGTACTACCTTGGGTTAAGAGCTTTACCTCAGGATGAGAACAGAAATCGCGTGGCGGCAGCGGGAGGCCCCATTAGCTAAAGTGGCACCTCAGGTTAAGAACGGTTTCAGGTTAAGAACGAACCTCCAGAACGAATGACGGTAAGTTCGTAACCAGAGGTACCACTGTATTGTGAAGGGAGGATCTGCAGAGCCACCACTGAAAAGGCCCTTTAAAAATACTGCCACCATCCAGACCTCGTGGGGAGGGAGCACATAAAGAAAAGCTCAGACGGCGATCGCAGGGTCCAAGTCAGTTCATAAGCGGAGATGTGGTCTTTGAGATATAACAGTCTTTAGCTGCATAAGACTTTATAGGTCAATACCAGCACTTTGAATTGGGCTTAGAGGCTGATTAATAGTCAGTGTAGCCAGACCAGGATTGGAGTTCAGACAGTCTTGCTCCAGAGAGCAACCCGGCTGCAGTTTCCAAACCATCTTCAGTGGAAGCCCTATGTATAACATGGAAAGCAGAGGTTAGGCTATCCCTGTCTAATTTGGTGCACACCAGCTGAATCTGATGGAAGGCACTCAGTGCCATCAAGGCCACTTGAGCCTCAGTTGACAGCAAAGGATCCAGGAGTACCCCCAAGCTATGTAGCCGCTCCTTCAGAGGGAGTGTAGGCCCGTCAAGAGCAGGCAAAGATCATATCCAGGGAACCACCCACTAGCAGCGCCTCTGTCTTAATCTGGATTAATCTTCAGTTCACTGGCTCTCATTCAGCACATCCCCTGTCCCAGCTGCAGATGTAAAGGAGAAGTAGAGCTGTGTGTCATCCGCATGTTTTCAGATCCCGCAACCTTCCAGAAAAGTGCTGCCAGGAAGCAGCACCTGTTAGCATGGTTGCTCCAAGTCAAATGTTCCTCCATGCTGTTGCTTCCATGAAAGTGGAAATATGGAACATTTTGCACTATCTGTTCTGGGCTGATATCCTACTTTTCTCTTCACTTATCTGGGGACGGTTAACATGGTTTTTGTAACTTTAGACTCGTTTTGCAGAGCTTGGCAATTTGTTGTCACTGGAAGAGTGGGTGTGTTATAATACTTAAAAAGGTAAAGGACCCCTGACAGTTAAATCCAGTCACGAACGACTCTGGGGTTGCGGAGTTCATCTTGCTTTACTGGCCAAGGGAGCCGATGTTTGTCTGCAGATAGTTTTTCCGGGTCATGTGGCCAGCACACTAAGCCGCTTCTGGCAAAACCAGAGCAGTGCACGGAAACACCGTTTACCTTCCCGCCAGAGTGGTACCTATTTATCTACTTGCACTTTGACGTGCTTTCGAACTGCTAGGTTGGCAGGAGCTGGGACCAAACAATGGGAGCTCACCCCATCACAGGGATTCGAACCACCGACCTTCCGACCAGCAAGCCCAAGGCTCAATGGTTTACACCACAGTGCCACCCGCGTCCGTTATTATACTTACGCTCACCAAATTTCATGGAATCATCATACCATCTTTCTATCAGTAGATCTAAAGGCAAAAGGAACTGAAGAGTGGACTTCCTCTTCGCAGTTCTCTATTACAACAGTTTTCTCACTCAGTTCTTCAAAAAGCTCAAAGTCTGAGCAGCTGGAACTTGGCCATTGGCATGGAGTTGCTTTTTAAGTGCCTTCCAAACATTTGTTCACACACTTCTCAGTCTTTCCACTCTTCCCTCACTTTCCACTTGGCCGAGTGTTTTGTGGCTCGTTTTACCAATTATAATTCAGACCAAGATTATGAAAACTGTTCAAAACTAAAGCATAATTGGTGTTACACAGAGTCAACTTGTGCACCTGGTGATGGAAAGCAATCGCAACATTTTGGTTTGTTGTTATTTTAAAAATCTACTGGTTTGGGTTTTTGTGTGTGTGTTTTTTGCTGTGTGTGGGGTGGTTATTGGGTTGTTGTTTTTATTTTGATTATATATTTTGTGGTTTTATATTTTGATTTTGTTCTGTGAACCGCCCTGAGACCTCAGGATATAGGGCGGTATATAAATTCAATAAATTAATAATAATAATGTATGTTATAGTGTGTTGTGATGGGCTACAGGGACAAATGCAGATATTGAAAGAAGGCACATGGGGAATATCAACAATCAGGATTATTGCACCTTGTGTATATGTGCATTAAGAAATGTGACTACTATGATTCCTACTAAAATAATTTCACAGGTAACATACCCCTCTAATCAGCAGTTAATTGTGTGCAATAAAATATGAACAAGCAAAACTAACATTACTAGTAATTGTGAACAGGATTGTTAGAAAAATTGTTTCCAAAGTTTATTTCAAAACAATGTTAAAACAATCTTTCTTCCCTTTAACACCAAGAGTATCATAAGAAGGAAGACTTTGTTTTGAGTAGCCCCACAATCTAAATTTTGTCAGTGAGAAGGTAAAAAATAGCAGATTGTGGAAATTTTCTGTGTTCCAGTTTGTCTGGTTGTTTTTCTATGATACAAATGTCTTTTACATGTTAAGGATTTCCACAGATGCAAATCATAACAACTTTAGTTTTATGTCAGCATAAACTGAACGTTTGCTTGATTTCAGTATATTTGTAAATCTAACCCATGCTCCTAGTGGGTGACTAAATACAATGTTCTTTGACATGCAAGCAGGTTAGTGCAGACAACCTACTTGGTATTCAAATCACACCCCTCTATAATGTTACGTTCATGTTTAGTCTCCAAAGCACGAATAATTCAAACATTAATGGAAAGGTCTTTTTCCTGTGCTCCTTGAATACCACATCACTTCTGGAAGAATTGCAGTCACCTGTCCATCATGGAAAACAACAAGGTTTGCAATCACTTGACAGCCCGTTGGGCACTTAATAATTCTAGACGCTTTGCTCCTGATTGGTTTAAAGTACACTGGAAGCTCAAGCCATCTCTCTTTTATGTCTGAGGTATAACCTCTGTTTTCAGAAGGGTTTATATAGCCTCGTCTTATTTGACTTTGTTGTAGCGTTTGTGTTTTAGTAAATGGGAAGCAGCCACTATTATGAGAGGAAGTATTGATTGGCAATAGATATATAACGATTGCCTGTTTCACTGGCAATGATTACTTAGGAGTCCCACTGTGTTCAACTGAACTTTTTCCCAAGTAAGTGTGCATTGAAGCGCAGCCTTAGTGCTTCCCTAGACATTTGGGAAGACCCATTTTTAGTTTAAGAGCAACTTTGATTGTGTTGAAACAAATGACTTGAACTACCTTCTTTTCGTTTTTATTTCAAGGGGTCCTAAATCACAAAGCGGGCTGACTCCAAGTTTTTGTACTTTCCAAGACTGCATAACACATCTCTCTTTATCCTTTATTTGTACTGGCCCATTGGCAAGGGACTGTGCATGCACAGGGAAGCGTCAGGGAAGCCAGGGTCAGGGAAGCGTCAGAACCAGGCAGGCTGGGTGAGGCAGGCAAGCAGAGCAGTGAGGAGATGTGTGGAAAGTCCTCACCCAGCTAACTGAATGCAGTGAAGGCAAACCAGTGTTTTAACAGTAGCACTTCTATGTTGCTTCTGGAGTTCACTGGATCAAACTGACTGAAAATGTTCTTGGGTTATAGGCACAAAATGAGATTGTTAGCAAGTTTAGTGGTCTTTGGGTCTGAACTAACACTTAAACCAGAATAATGTTGTTGTTTAGTCATTTAGTCGTGTCTGACTCTTCATGACTCCATGGACCAGAGCACGCCAGGCACTTCCACTGCCTCCCGCAGTTTGGTCAAACTCATGCTGGTAGCTTCGAGAACACTGTCCAACCATCTCGTCCTCTTCTCATCCCCTTCTCCTTGTGTCCTCCATCTTTCCCAACATCAGGGTCTTTCCCAGCGAGTCTTCTCTTCTCATGAGGTGGCCAAAGTATTGGAGCCTCAGCTTCAGGATCTGTCCTTCCAGTGAGTACTCAGGGCTGATTTCCTTAAGAATGGATAGGTTTGATTTTCTTGCAGTCCATGGGACTCTCAAGAGTCTCCTCCAGCACCAAAACCATAATAATAATAATAATAATAATAATAATTTATTTCTACCCTGCCCACCTGGCTGGGTTTCCCCAGCCACTCTGGGCAGTTCCTGACAGAATATTAAAAACACAATAAAAGTTCAAACATTAAAAATTTCCCTAAACAGGGCTGCCTTCAGATGTCTTCTAAAAGTCAGGTGGTTGTTTATTTCCTTGACATCTGATGGGAGGGCGTTCCACTGGGAGGCCCTCTGCCTGGTTCCCTGTAACCTCACTTCTCGCAGGGAGGGAACCGCCAGAAGGCCCTTGGGGCTGAACCTCAGTGTCCGGGCTGAAACAGGAGGGTGGAGATGCTCCTTCAGGTATACTGGGCCGAGGCCGTTTAGGGCTTTAAAGCTCAGCACCAACACTTTGAATTGTGCTTTGCATAGCAGCTTGCACACCCTCCAACAATTCCTCAGATGAAAATAGGGACATTTCTCAATCCCCCGCCCAACTGACCCTCTTCAACCCTCCATTTCCCCCCATCTCATCATTAGTTTTATGAATCTGTAGGTCACGCAGGCAAACAAAGCAGATGTATAGGTGTTCCTTTGGGAGGGTCAGGATTTAGCCATGCAGATGTATAGGCCTGAGGTACTGGTATTTCCTGAGGGCCACATATGAAAAGTGATAGGATAAGCTGTCTTCCTCCTTTCCTTTTCTTCTTTGCCAGGTCATTCCTACATCCAGATCTTTAAATCCCACTGAGCCTTTTGCACTGTTTCAGATATCTCAGATAAAATATCTGCGATCAAAATCTCAGAAATACATTCAAATGACCTTAAAACCAGTTTTGCAACTGTGATTTACATGGAGAGCTCGTTTTGCTAAATTAGATACGATAGCTGAGAGAGAACTGTGAAATAAATAGCATTTTCAGCAACTTTTACCAAAGAAAAAAGAATCAATAGATCTGAACACCATGGCAACAGAAGAGTATTTTGAGCCTCATAACTGACATCCATAATGGCATCAATCCCTCTGAAAGTCTTGTGGACTCTTGACGCTTCTTTTTCCAGCTATCTGTCCAGTCTGTTTCTCATTAAGGTAAATAAAAATTGAGTACCCTGCTAGGGTTTTCAGAGATGCAATAACTTTTAGAAATGGCTTATTGGAGCATACTATGTTCTTCCTGAGGGACGCAGGTGGCGCTGTGGGTTAAACCACAGAGCCTAAGGCTTGCCGATCAGAAGGTTGGCTGTTTGAATCCCCACGACGGGGTGAGCTCCCGTTGTTCGGTTCCTGCTCCTGACCACCTAGCAGTTCGAAAGCACGTCAAAGTCCAAGCAGATATATAGGTACCGCTCCGGCGGGAAGGTAAATGGCGTTTCCGGGCGCTGCTCTGGTTCGCCAGAAGCAGCTTCATCATGCTGACCACAAGACTCAGAAGCTGTACGCCGGCTCCCTCAACCAGTAAAGCGAGATGAGCACCACCACAACCCCACAGTCGGTCACGACTGGACCTAATGGTCAGGGGTCCCTTTACCTTTACTTTTATGTTCTTCCTAGGGCAAGATAGGCTTTTAGAGGTACTGTACATTGAATCAATGTACTTATTTTAAAGGCAGTCTAGTTGGGAACTAACAACTGAGATGCTGAGGACTAATTTGAGCATGCCTGGTAGGGTTTTTTATTTTTATTTGAATGGTACACACACACACACACACACCACCTTTTGATAATCAACTTACCTCAAAAGTGGTTTGCTGTGCAAGATGGCGGGGGCAACAAATTGCAAAATACAAGTTCCTTGGGTATGCTGAAATCTATGTGCAGTTCTTTGCAGCCCACCGTAAGGCTCCAACCTGCAATCATTTCTAATGCCTGACATTAAAGTACATAAATAAGATTGCTGCATGAATCTGTATAATTTCAGGTTCAAACGTCACAAAAGGTAAGAGACCTGGAAGGGCTCTTCTGTCTATCACACCACCCCAGTAATTTGAGCACTGTATGAAAGGATCTGAAAGGGAAATCGTAGGAAAGTCCAATACAGTACAGCCTGTTTCTTTAACATAGCTGATTGAATTATTGCTGTTTCAAACTGAGATATAATGCTACTAAATTGGTGCCCTGGTTTTATGGCTCAACACCTTATGCCCATGAGGGGGAAATGGTGGTATGTAATGGCTAGTTATAGATGTTTTTATTGCTTGCATAACTCCCAAACTCCTAAATATAAAGACAAAAGGAGCTACCTTATGCTGAGTAAAACAAATGACTCATCTAAAAAAGCACTGGCTACTACACAGACTCCTAAGTCTTAGGCAGAGATTTATATATTTCTTTATAACCCTGTCATCTGAGATTCTCCAACTTGCAAAGCGGGTTGATACAAAGAATGTGATGAGACTTCTTTTTGCCGAACTAGTTGAATGTACTTGTCACCAAATTATTTTGAGTTCCAAATACGTACTTCAAAAAGTTAGGACTCCCAAGTGAACATGTTTTGATGCCCTTTCTGAGAAACTACCCCATCAGAATAAGTGAGGTTTACAACTGTAACAGGTCAACATTTCAGTGAATCTGGGGCAGTTTAATTTTGATACCACCAAGGGAACTTTTCTTACCCGTGCATTACCCATGGTCAGCGTTATCATTAGCTACCACAACAGTGCTCACTAGCACAGGAGGTGTGGCCTAGCAGGAAAACAGGTCCAGCTTTGTGCAACATAACAGACACACCTAACTTAGGCAACCAAGGTCTTCCAAACTCAGACAATACAGGATCTCATTCACTTCGCAGCTGTGCTGTCCAGAATTATTTTATGCTTCCTGTTACAATCTTTGGCCTGCCATAATACTGTCCCAGCCACTGCTTCACAGGGTGGCCTTGAAGAAGCAACTGATGATTTGCCTTATTTGGTGTGCAGATAGACAAATAAGCAACTAGGTAGATGATAGATAGATAGATAGATAGATAGATAGATAGATAGATAGATAGATATAGATCAGGGATAAGAAAGTCAGCACATCATTTGCTCATCTCTGCCTTTCACTTTGCCAGTTGTAAAATGAAAGTTACTATTCCTTGCTTTACAGAGTTTGGGAGGACTGCAAAAATGTATAACACAAGAATGGGTGTTGGAATGGTAAATTTTCCTAAGCATTTTAACAAGCAAAAAGTAATGCTTTCTCTCCATTGTGTCCACTTCCGTGCTGTGCTATGTGATTTTGCAGTTCTGAAAGCTCTTCTGGCAACTCCTTTATGATGCCTTGATGCATTAATTTTTCTTTTTTAAAAAAATAAATGACTGGTCTGTCTCTGAACATGTTTACCCCTAAATAGATCCAATAAATTTTTATTTATTTCCCATACTTCGTATATCGACCTTCTAATCGCATGGTTTAAAAAACCTTTGTGTACTTTTACTTTGTCGTACCATAGGTACGAAGGCCACCCGTACCTATTATCGCGGCCCTCTAAGTCCAAGAGATCAGTGTTTTCTAATGTCATCCATTCCTTCTTTCAATGGCCGCGGCTCCGCCGGAAGTTCCCGGAAGCTCATTCTATATCTTCTACAATTATGTCCTCTGGAAGAGAATGAAAAAGAGACTGAATTAGCAGCCCCTCTCAACTAAGCCTGCCAAACAATACCCAAACCCAAGGGTTCAACCACCTCAGCTTTTGTAGTTGGAGTCAGTCAGGGCCCTGCCTACTGAGGCCTGCAAGGCACAGCAAATACAGCAAGAAGGTCTGGGAGGTCTTTTTCGGGCATGAACCATAACGCTACTAAGTGAAAAGTCCCCGGGGTGTGGAGATTTGTTTACCTTTTTCAGGTGCTGGCCGAATTCTGGACCGGTGTCGGGCTATTGCCTTCTGCAGGGGAAAGAGAAAGGTGGATCAGACACCTTTTGTGAAACTACAAAACCCACCATTGACAGGTGCAAGAGAGCCCACAAGCAGGCCCAAGCCAGAAAAGACTGGCCTCCCTAAGGCCCAGTCCCTTGCGCCAGAGGACCTCCATGGGCCCTGCAGCCTCCTGGGCAGAGGTAGAAGGGCAGCACCGGGGAAGAAGGCAGGACATGCCTCTGGCATCATCCTGACACCCCAGGGACATTATTTGCATTAGGTGCTTTGGGAGCCTTTTAGAGGGTGGAGGTGGAAGTATTCAGAGTCTGCAGAACTGGGGGCAAAGACCACAGTCAGCAGGCAGAGGGTCTGGGGGATCCACTCCCTCTTTTGTTTCCCCCAGTACTAACCTCAAGGTCTGGGAAGGTCTGGAATAGCTTTCTCACAACTGCAACAAGAGAAGGACATGGGGACAGGTTAGTTCGTCCCTTTGCAGCTTCCAAGATTGTTGCAATAATCTTCTCCTTGATTCCCCTGCTTCTACACTCCTACTACAGGGATTGCAAACCCCAGGGCTTGGGGGCCAATCTTGGCCTGCAGCCCCCGAATGTGGCTCACAAGGGAATGTGGCCCTCTAGTTGGCCACTGTCCCTAGCCCTGTCCTATCAGCTGCCTTGGCCTCCTGCCAGATCCAGCAGTCTGGCTCTTTTGACTTTTTTTCTTACTAGCTTCCACTCCCCCACAAATCCTATACCCTGAGCTGCCACCCTAACCTATTCCTTCCCTCTTTCTGCAGTTGAATGAACTGTAGGACTTCATAACAGCCGCAAAGAGGCAGCCAAGAGCATTCAGGGCTTGGAGAGAAAGGAGGTACCAGCTCCTGCCATTCCAGGACCGAGAGAGCCTGGCTAACATAATTCATGCCCTGATTGCATCAAGACTGGATTACTGCCATGCACTGTATGTGGGGCTTCCCTTGTGCATCACCTGGAAGCTGCAATTAGTGCAGGATGCTGCAGCGTGACTGCTGACAGGAGCAAGGCCTTGTCGACATACAACACCTACATTGTTTTACCTTGGAAACTGCTTCACTGACAACCTTTCAATGTATGGCCAGTAAGTCCCATATAAAGGTAAAGGGACCTTTAGCTTTAGGTCCAGTCGTGGCCGACTCTGGGGTTGCGACGCTCATCTCACTTTATTGGCCGAAGGAGCCGGCGTACAGCTTCTGGGTCATGTGGCCAGCATCACTAAGCCGCTTTTGGCGAACCACAGCAGCGCACGGAAACACCGTTTCCCTTCCCGCCGGAGCAGTACCTATTTATCTACTTGCACTTCGATGTGCTTTCGAACTGCTAGGTTGGCAGGAGCTGGGACCGAGCAACGGGAGCTCACCCCGTCGCGGGGATTCGAACCGCCGACCTTCTGATCAGCAAATCCTAGGCTCTGTTGTTTAACCCACAGCGCCACCTGTGTCCCATATAAAACCCCTTTAAGAGGGGACCCTGGAATCGCCATTGCGGGGGGTGTCACCACTTCAGCCGCCCCCCCCCCCCATTTAGGGAAGATAGACTAACTGATTCGGCGGGCAGTGCAGCCGTCCCATGCAAAGACCGAGCTTGCAACCTTGGCATTATCAACACCATGTGATAATGAACCTACATGAATTGTTCTGGAGAGAAGGAAATGTAGCAAAGAATAGGATGGGGCCCCACAAACTTACCATTCTGTCCCGCGAAGGACAAGTCCACTGATCCTGCCTTCCTCTTGAATTTCTGGAATTGACCGCATTGCTGCTGCTGCCTCCGCCTCCTATTAAAACAGTCCCTGCCTCCCTGCAGGGCTGATTGGCAAAAAATTTTTTTAAAAAAATTAAAAATTAAAACAATTAAAATCAGATCTTAAGAATCAAATAAATAAAATAACAGCCAAAATGAGAAAATCAAAATCAAAATAAGAAAAACCAAAGCCTCTCCTAAATCTCCTTCTGCACTCCCACCTCTCTCTCTACCTCTCCTCACTAACCCACAATGGACAACTGTAGTTGGTGGCTTTTAAGTGAGAAGCAGGAGATGTCACAAAGGAGGGCAGGTTACTGTTCCCATGGCAACCCACCCACCTTGACCCTGGGCCAAACTCCCCCCCCCCCCCAAATGTTTCTTCAGAACTTTGAAGCACCTGTTGTTCCATCTGCAGGTGAATCTTCTCTTTTGGAGTTCATGTTTTTATACAGTGGTACCTCGCAAGACGAATGCCTCGCAAGACGGAAAACTCGCAAAACGAAAGGGTTTTTGGTTTTTTGAGTTGCTTTGAAATACGATTTTCCCTATGGGCTTGCTTCGCAAGACCGAAACGTATTGCAAGTTTGTTTCCTTTTTCTTAAAACCGTTAATACAGTTGCGACTTGACTTCAAGGAGCAACTCATAGCCTTTTTTGTGGTAGCCTTTTTTGAGGTTTTTGAAGACTTTGGTGATTTTTGAAGCTTTTCCAAAACTTTTCCGACACCGTGCTTCGCAAGACGAAAAAAACCGCAAGACGAAAAAACTCGCAGAACGAATTAATTTCGTCTTGCGAGGCACCACTGTATCAGATCATTCTTCATTCAGCCCCATTAACAAAGGGAGACAATCCCAACGTCCCTTGAAATGCAGTAGAAGACTCCCAATTCTAGGGGTGTCCATAGCACAGGATTAGGCAATCTGCTTTGCATTATCATCATCCTCACAGATAATCCTGGACGACATCTCCAGGTGGGGCAGAGAATGTTCCCTGTCTGAAACCCGGTCAGTGTAGACGATGCTGAGGTGGATGGGTGGATTCTGGCCTCTGTAATGAAGCAATAGGCAAAGGGTCCTGAAGCAGAGCAAGTGGGGGGGGCATCTGTCAGGGACTCTTCAGCTGTGATTCCTGTATTGCAGGGGGTTGGGCTAGATGACCTTTGGTGTGGCCCCCAGTTCCACGATTCTGTAATTCTAGGTTTGTACTCTGTACTGGGTCCTGTTATATTTATGCAGCCTTACTTTTCTATATGCCTGTTTCAGTCCTTGGAGACCTAGTTCGTTCACCCTTCAAAAGCATGTCTTTAATGTGGTACCTCGTCGAAGGTGCACACCTCATTCCTGGCATCTGATACCCTGTGCACACTACAAACACATTTGTACTACAAACAACAACAACAACAAACAAACAAACAAACAAACAAACAGCAAACCACCAATCCTGCATTGAACATATATAATTTTCATTAAATTTTCTGTTTTGCAATTTAGAATATTCATTTAAACAACCTTAAAATAGCAATGACTTCCCTTCTTTTCTTTCCATGGTTCATTTTACATAACATAAATCCCTGCATATTTTACATAAACTAAACCATTAAGTATTTTATTATTGCATCCATCAAAACTTATTTACACTGTTGAATTTATCTTAATCCTGCCAGCGTTTTCGGTTGTCCACAGTTATTTCCCATATATTCAATAAATGTTTTCCAATCTCTAAACGTATGTTCTTCTTGTTCTCCTATGTTCTCTTATTTTTTTGGATCTTCAAACAAAGCAGATGTATAGGTGTTCCTTTGAGAGGGTCAGGATTTAGCCATGCAGATGTATAGGCCTGAGGTACTGGTATTTCCTGAGGGCCACATATGAAAGTGACAGGATAAGCTGCCTTCCTCCTTTCCTTTTCTTCTTTGCCAGGTAAGTCCTACATCCAGATCTTTAAATCCCACTGAGCCTTTTGCACTGTTTCAGATATTTCGGATAAAATATATGCGATCAAAATCTCAGAAATATGTTCAAATGACCTTAAAACCAGTTTTGCAACTGTGATTTACATGGAGAGGCTGCAAGTGTGATTACCTTTGCAGGGATATGAATAAGTAATAAAAGAATAGAAAGAATAACAATTTTGCGAGTTTTGTATGTGGAGTTATGATGGAACTGGAAATATTGAACTTGGCAATGTAAACCACTATCTGCAGAACTTAATATAAAGAAATTTGTGGCAGATGTATCTGAGATAAAAATAGATTAAAAAGGGGGGAGAAAACTTAGAAGATCAATAGCAATCACTCTGGGTTTTTATGCTCAGTCGAGAAGGGGCTGGAGGAGCACAAGTATGAAAATATGGCTCTTAACATTCAATAAAAGGCCTGTACATTTACTGAAGAATCTACAAGCATATTAACTTGACATCACTGACGAGTAGAAGATGAATTGCTGAGGGTGAAGTTTGCTGAGAGTATATTTATTATAATAACCTGTTGAAATGAATCTTTGCCTTGCTTAGCATATAAAGATCCCGCCCCCCCTTGGGAAGGCTAAACAGCAAGAAAGGCTCTTCTTTATCATTACAGCCAATTCAGCATTTTCAAAGTACATCATTGTACAACCAGACCAGGGATGTGTTGCAATGTGTAGGAAATGCTATCATTTGGGAGATTTTTTGCAGAGTGACACCCTAGAAGCACTTGCCTGTATCAAGAGAGAAAATATGAATTGTCACGCAGTACGTATAGAACGTATAGTATGTATAGCAGGGGTACCTTTACCTTTACCTTTTTACGTATAGAATAGTAGGGCAAATTTAACTGTACTGAATTTAACTGTATTGTAATAGATTGTTAAATAATCTAAAACAGTCAGTCTCGAAAGCATGGGCTTTTTAAAAGCAGCAGCTATCATGCATCCCATTTAGAAAAGGAACAGTCCACCCAGCCCTATGACTCTGATTGCAAACGATTAATACGGAAACCCAGTTCAGTACCTGTGAGTTCTGAATGCATAAAGGGGTTCTCTAAAATGGCCCTGGCTAGTCCTGCCTCTAAGCCTAGATTTATGTGTTGGCCGTGCTCCCTGGCTGGTGTGAAATTAGGGGCCTAAATGGGATCCTCATAACAGAGGGTCCTGGTTGTGCTCAGGCCCCGGGGCTCACCCCCTAAAAGGATAAATTGGTGGAGGGAGTATCAGGAAGTCCTGGCTTTTGCCCTGGGATCACGCCAGGCTGTTTTAGCCAATCGCCAGAGGGTGGCATGATCCCAGGGGCTTTAAAATTGGCAGTGTGACGCAAGCAGGGGGCACTTGCATCGCGCTGCCGAACACCCACCCACGCTCCCTAGTTTTAGGTAGAGTCGCTTGGCCTTGCTTTGGTTTGGGTCGCCTGTTTTGGAACAGGGGCTGGGTAGGATTTTTTTCCATTTGGCAGATTGCCTTTAGCCATTTGGTTTTTTCCTAGCCCTTAGCAATCGTCACAACTTGTAAGGTGGCAGTTAGACATTGGCTCAGTTGGATTGTAGGGAGGGGAGGTGCGGCCATCACCTGCCCCTCCAGGATCTGGGTATTCCATTAAAGGAATCTAGGGGTCCTGGGTCTCATCCAAAGTCTGCTTGAGGGGCTAGGTCCATGCCAGGACCACAGGAACCCCGGGATGAGCTTCGGTTGGTCCTCATTGACCTTGCTCCCTCATTTGGTTTACCCTGTTGGATGATCACCCAGAGAGGTGAAGTCAGTTATAGTGCGGAGTCAATGCCTAAGCCAATACTGCTCACGTGATTGTATTTCAATAAAGTTGTGGCCAAAAATTTGCCCCAAAACTTAAAACTAAAATAAGTGTCCATGTGAAGTTATTTTGGGGGGTGGGTCCTGGGGCCTCGGGGCGCAAACATTTATAGGCATGTCTTCATGGAGAAAGCCCTTTAGAGTTTTGTTTCCTTTGAATGAGATTGCACAGAAGACTTTTGGTAAATATTTGTAAGAGGGCTGGACCTACCATTAGGCAGATCAAAACAGCCACCTCAGGCAGCTGATTTTGGATGCCATGCTAAGGCAGCAAAATCAATAGCCATTCTTTGGTATGCCATCCACAACATCAGCTGCCCATTCACCGGCTCATCTTCGAATGTGACATATGCATTCTACATGGAGCAAAAACGTCAGTGTCTGTGTGAAAAGGCAAAAGGGCACAAATCTGACATCAGAAATCACAATATTTAAAATCCAGTGGAGGGAATATTTGATCTTCCTTGGACGCTCTGTAACCGATCTTCTTGAACCAAGAAACTTCAAAGGAAGCTGTGTGTGAAGCCACTGAATTGTGATTCATGAAGAGGTTCTGGCCCTCCCATGAGGCAAGATGAAGCCGCACTTGGGTGGGTGCCCCACTTGCGCCACTGCCTCTGTCGCAAGCACAGAAGCAGTGCCACTTTCTGATGAGATCCGGCAAGATCTTGGGGAGCACAAGAAACCTTGTGATATTCTGAGAAACGGGCTTATGTTCCACAAAACAACTGTTTTGTGAATGACCGTGGTTGATAACATAATTACCTGTACTTTTGATATTTCATTTCCCTCTATTCTCACTGTTCGCAATTTCCCTCCGTGTATTCTGAGTGTGTAACTCAGAAAAAACACTTTAAACATCTGAAGTGAACTGTAGTCCGTGAAAGCTTATGCCACAATAAATGTGTTAGTCTTTAAGGTGCCACAAAACTCTCCAGCAGGCCAACCCTTCTAGATATACCGGTAGTATTTTTCCTGTGGGGTGAGGGGAGGGACAGATGCAGGAGGCATATTAATACAAGCTGTATAAATCCTATTTGCTTTTCAGACTTGCCATTTGTTTCTCTTGCACCCAAAGATACACCCTGCTCCCCTGCAGTGCGCTGGTTTCACACCCCAACTGTGCATATGAACTACCATTCAATAAACTATATCCTGTCCAGTGGCTCCCATTGAGAGAATTTCACCCAAGCATCTTTCTTAGTAAGCAATCCACTTTACAAAGGATGGCCTGTCAGCAGCTATCACACCATCTTTACAAGATGCATCTTTGCAGCCCCAGCTGCAATAAACCATGTCTCTCTGGTATTGGTCTCTACAGCCACAGCAGGCGCTGTGACTCTCAAACGGTTTGACTTTACCCCCAATGATGCATTCTCTCATTGTCTCTTGAGACAGGCGGATGCCAACACCTTTCCCAGGATGTTCACTGCATATTTGTAGCCTGATATTAAGATGTCATTGCCTAGAAACAAGGCATAAACTCTAAAAGAACACTGAACACTGAATATTACATTTCTTTTACAAGATCAGTTTCCATGGAAATGAAGGGTTTACCTCCCCCCGCCCTTTCTCTCTGTAGTAGGGCTTGATTCAAGCAAGTATAACATAAACTTGTATTTTTAAAATAAGCAACACTTGGGAAGCAATGCCTAGCATTATAAGAGTGCTGACTTATCACATATGTATTATTCCTTTTTCTACACAGCTCAGGGAAGTGTGTGTCAGGTTTTGCCCAGCTGTACTTTTGGAACAAAACCATGAGATAGGTGAGGTTGAGTGTGATTGGTCCAAAGTCAGCTAATGGTTTTCATGACTGAGCATAAAAGCAAATCTCCCCAGCTCATGTCCAACAGACTGCCACATTAACCATTTTAACGTTGTGTGCATAGATTATTTTTTTTGCTTGTCCTTCCACCAAGGAGTTCCTGGTTGTCTATATGGTTCCTCCACCCCTTGCATTTATCTTTGCAACAACTGAAAAACCACTTATTGCCCATTCCAGTGAACTTCATGGCTGAAGAAAATAAAATTAGGAGTTTATTTTCATAGTGGGGCTGTTTTGAGGGGGGGGGAACCAACCTCCTTTTGTCAGCATCTTGAAATATCAGTGGAATCTACATGCGTATAAAAATCGTTCTGAAAATGCTTTTTTTAAAGCGGTTGGTTTTTTTTAAAAAAAAATGAATTTTCCATAAGGCTCACCATCGCCATCTAGTGTCGCATTGTATATTGCACTTAAAACACACTTTAAAGTTTTATTTGCAATAGTATAGCTGAGTCAATCTCCTTTGTTTGGGGTTCATTTTAGATGCTCAGCTTTTTTTGCATTTTTTGTTCATGCCCACTTTTGGCCACCTGGTATGTTGGCCAAAGGTGAATACAATCCTTGCACCCCAAAAAAGCAAGCCACTCCTTTCCTACAGAATCTCTGGACTCACATAGTAGCTCTGGAAACGTGGTGCTCTTGATCCCAGAAGATTTCCTATAGCGATAATGCTGATCTTCCTAATTACCCGGTTCCATAGTTTGCACATCTTTCCAACTTCTACTTCTTGGTTGCGTCACAACCATTCCCCAGAGAAGTTACGCTGGCTTAAAATGTAAAATGAGCTCCTGCTCCTGTATCATCTGCATTCAGCAAACCAAGACCCCATGGACAATTGCTTTGTTATTCAATGCTAGCTAGAAGTGGATATAGCTCCATTTCCTTGATTTGTTTCTTGCCAATATTTTACGTGATGATTATCTGCAGCCTAGGTATAAAATCTCCATTCGTTCCCAGGTTTGTATGATGAAGGAGAAAGTTGAATCTCCATGTGGCTGGTGCTCAGAGGTGGGTGCAGTTCAGCTGAAACCAAGTTACAATTCCCAAATAGTAATGTGATAATGCGCATGTGTGTGGCACCATCAGCATCCATGCATCAGCATGATGACTCAGGAAAGCACTCGTAGAAAGTTCCTGTGCCAGAGAAAGTTCAGAAGTAGTAAACCACTTTCAAATCAAATCGAGGAGGAGCTCATCTAGCAGTGGTAACACTCTTGTGGGAATGCTGAAGATCTCACAAGTCAAATCGCACACTGCAGCTGCTTGTGGTGGCAAACGGATTTGTGTCCGTCCAGCTTTCTTTTGTTTCAGAGTTAAGCATGTGCACATGAGATAAGCATGCATTTGGAGCAGAGCAAGAGGAGAGGGCTGAATTCTGTCTCCCCAAGAGACCTTAATTCTCCGTAAGAGAGGGCAGTCGTGACCATTTGCCGTGTGATGCTGTAACAAGCTACACAACAGGAGCGTTCTCGTGAATTAGTTGTCTTTATTCTCTTAACCCAAGGGGATTTTTGTTCTAAATCCAGCTTTCACCAAGGAGTTTTTGTACAACACCCACGTCTGCTAAAGACTTCAGGCAAAGAATATACACTCTTTGTTCTTTTGTGTAACACCTTGCCTTGGAAACCGCAAAAGGAGTATAATTCAGATCAAGCTATTGGCACATTTATTCTTCTGCTTATGCAAAAGGCTTGCTTCAATTCAGGCAATACAATTACTTTATAGAGCAAATAGCTTATAGACATTTCTTGGGGAATGATATGGACCATAAACTAGTAGTTCCTTGACACCCAATAATTACCTGGAAATAACCATTTCTCATCACATGCTAATAGCACCAATCTGCTAGCAAGTACAAAGTTTTAGTCAGCCTAGTTGTATAGAAACAAGGACACAGTGAAATATAGCGGATATTGACCGAAATGCTATCCTATCCTACAAAATAGATTTTTTAAAATCTGTGACGTGGAATTTGCTTTCAAATGGTCTTAAAACTAGTAGGAGGAAAGTAAATTAGATGACTGCAATTTGTTTAAGTCCTGCCTAAATGACACATGAGATTATGAAATATTTATCTCACTGTGCCACCAGCCAGGCGAAGCACTCAGAGCTGGTAAAACAAAAATCCTTAATGATCAGGATGAAATAAGCACTTTCCTCCATTCCAAAAGAATTCAGCAGTTCTGTTCTGAATAGCTCACAATCAAGAACACAACAATCTGGGAATATTGCTTTGTACATGAGCTTACGGTAGGTGGAAATTTCAGCTTTGTTTACCACTTCAAGTTAACAATGCAAAGCTTAAAGGCCAGATGTGAACACAGAAAAAGGTTACAGGATGTCAAATACTGATGCATCTGCCTTTCAGGACATCTGTCATGAAGGCATTTGCGAAGATCAAGACAGTTCCATCATATATTTTCATTCATTAGTCATAAACACTAAATACTTTACTAGCTAATCAGCTAGTCTTCTGAACTCTTTATGTGCACTCCATGCCATATTCCTAAAGTTTAGAAAATGCCACAAAGGTCTGTAAAAGTTGCAATCTTATGACCCTGAAACTCTTAACTAACAACAGGGTGAAAAGGCAGAGAATAAAAAAATCATGAGATTGCGAATCAAATTGAAGTTGAAAATAAATATGCACATTCTTTGATTGCCTCTTTTAACAATTTATTTTATTAGAGAGTACAGGAGAAAGGAGACTGTAATCAGGTAGATTAATAAGCAGGCTATTTTCTCAGCGACTGTCTCACAAGGTGCCACCATAAGAATATTTAAGCAAGATTGCAATGATTTTTGGAGGAAAAAAATAAACTTACTTTCCTCTAAAAGTCGTGAGAGGACAACCTAGAGTACATTGAGGCAATTCATGTTAAATAAGATTCTACAGAGATTAACAGGTGCTCAGCCTTCTGTGTGCAAGCATGAAAAAAGAACTTTTGGAGGAGGGTGGTGGGAGCCTAATTACTTTGAGAGAAAATCCTCCTTTGCACACAGAAGGGTGACCACATGTTAGCTCCAATTTATGCTGATCCTTGCACAGCATATAGTTGGAGTGTGCCTTATTCTCTGAGTGGCTTCATGCCTCAGGCAGTTTTCTAAGCCAGGCCCTAGCCATTTACGGTACTTTGCCTGGAAGAAAATCCACACGGAAAACAGTATCAAGCTGGGGAATGGTACTTGTATACACCTTGGGGAATGGAACTGTTATTATCTCCCAGTTATGGACAACAGACTAGAAGCTAATGATATAGATTCTTGCCCCATGGGTGCAGCAGGAAGGTGAAATGAAATTTCATAGGACAACCTATGCAGTGGTGGAGACCTGCAAATAAAATAATAATCTGCCTGGTGTATTTAGGTTTCCAGATTGCAGAATCCTAAATCAGGCCATTCCCGTTCATGAATGTTACTTTCTGAACAACCCTTCAAGCCTAAGACTAGTCGAATCTGAAGACTACATTGGGACATATGCAGTCATATGTCTCCTATGTTCCATCAAGTGAGACATGGGGAAAGATAGATACTCCCCCCCCCGCCAAAAAAACCCCTCCACATTCCTCTAACTAAGCTCACAGCAAGAGATCTGAATTCTATTACTGACGTTTGTGAGATCTGGCCTGCTAAACTGCAACAATGAGATTGTGCCTGGGGATTATATCCTTGCATGCGCCCACTTTCCCCAAGCATTGAAGAAGAGGGCAGCTAAGGTGGGCAGAGTCATTTTTCTTCAAATGGAAGGATCACTGGAGACTTAAGGTGGCTTGTAAAAATTGGCTTTATTTGCAGATATGTAGGCTGAGCATAGGTGAAGAGCAACTCCATGACAACCCCCGTCAGCACAGCCAATGGTCAGAGAGCTTGGGGAAGGCAGGGTTATGAGATGAGAGAAGGATTGTCTGTGTTAGAATTTACTCAGTAGTGGGCATCTGATTTGCTTGCACAAGTTCCCAAGTCAAGTCCTTGACTTCTCCACCCAGGGCTGGGGGTGTCCCTTGCCACTGTCCCCTTTCCACCATCTTGGGTTGAGGGACCAGCTAACCACTATGCAAGTCTTGGAAGTTAAGATCTGAAGTGGCATTTTTGTTCCTGAGCTGAATGATGAACGTGGCTGTAGATTGTTTTCTTCCCACTTAGTATCTCACCATTATGTCTTGAACTTTGCAAACCGACTGCCTAAGTGGCATCACAGCATATAAAGTAGCTTTGCCAACATGTTTCGTGTTTCTATTCAGAGGTTGACAAGTTTCCCCACTTTAAGAGTACAGGTGTTTTTTATGTGTGTGGCTTTTTTTTTTTAATGCTCTCAGAGCTATAATCTGGTTTGGATGTTTATTGGTGCCTGTTCTCCCTTGGGTTCCTGTGTCCCAACTTTGACATGACAATCATTTGACTTAGATCAGAAGGGATTGGGAAGATTTATTAGTCTCATGTGAATAAGGGAAAGTTTAATGACACAGGCTACTGCACATTATAATCTTGCTCAAGCTCAATGTGACCTAAAAGCTCAAGTTAAATATTAGCATTTGGGGGAAAAACTCTCATTTGGATGTCAAGGTTCTTTCTGATCTAAAAGAACTGTCTGTGGCTCTGATAGATCACAGCAGTCCTGTAAGAAACACTGGTTAATTCTGCAAGTTAAAGGAGCTTAAAGAAACATCTAGATTTAAATCATTCTAATGGGACATTTTCCCCCCAGCCTCAGGATTACCCATAGCAGGGATTCCTGTGCCAAAATACTAATTAGTTTGTGTGTGGAATATCTGAGAGCCCTGTGCAAAAGGGGAGAAGTGTGGCAAATGGTAGCTTTTTTGCTCTCCTCTGCAATTGCGAAGGGGGGAGGGGAAAGCTACCCTTTGAAAGCATTGCCTGCATGCCAAGGTTGGGGTTTCAAAACTCAACTACAAGATGAAGAACTTCCTGATCACTGGCTTAGGGTGTAGGAGACATGTTATTTCCTAACAGCCTTTCTAAGATCATTCTCAGTTTTGGAGATTTGAATCATGATAGTGGTAAGAAACTGGGTTCCACCACTGCCGTCTGTAACTTCCACAATCCAAAGGTTTTCTGAAAGCTTCTCCAAAGTTGAGGCTGGGTTGAGAAGTTTGCATGCTTTGTAACAGGATTAACTAAATGGTTGCCAAATGACTGTCATGTTAGTTTGTGCAACTGTAAGGACAAGGCAAAAATATTGTTGCTTGGAATCTTCTTGAGTGATGACAGATTCCAGGAATAGGAGAGAGAGCACCGGTGACTTAACAGATTTTTTAAAATATTTGCATTGCTTACAAATACATACTACTCAAATCATAGACTGGACCATCCAAACTAATTAGATTACCATGTCCCACTTGATGCAGGAAATCCAGAGCTAGACATCCTCAACGGATGGCTAGCCAGCCTTTACTTGAACACCTCCAGAATGGTGGAGCCCACTACCTCACTACTTTGATTCCATACAGAAGTACAGCATAATCTCTCTGCCTGTTCCAAACTTCAGGCTGCTCTTACACACACTATCCCCTCCCGTGTGTGTGTGTGTGTGTGTGTGTGTGAGAGAGAGAGAGAGAGAGAGAGAGAGAGAGAGAGAGCTTCCCCAAGTTCTGGTGGGTATCTCATTCAAACAGAAGGATGGGAGAGATTGCTGATCAACAGCCCAGAGTAGTTGTTTAATGGGGTTGGGAGAAGTTTGGGAGATAGTTGACAATCTCCCCAACAAAAGGAATGATTGGCTGACCACCATATACAGTGGTACCTTTGTTCTCAAACTTAATCCGTTCTGGGAGTCCGTTCGACTCCTGAAACCGTTCAAAAACCAAGGCACAGCTGCAGAAGCTTCCTGCACTCTATCGGAAGCTGTGTCAGACGTTCGGCTTCCAAAAAACATTGGCAAACCGGGACACTTACTTCCGGGTTTGCAGCGTTTGGGAGCCGATTTGTTTGACAACTAAACTGTTTGGGAACCAAGGTACCACTGTATTGACTTTCCCATTTCCTAACTGTCATGGAGTTAAGTCTGTTACTGTCATGAGCCCCATGGCCCCATCTGGAGCAGGCATGGATTGGCAGTCTCAGGCTATTAAAGATGAAGAGGAAGAATCAGAAGGGAGAGTGAATTGTGGGAACCAGGGATGGAGGATGGAGGTTCCTCCTGTGGAGTGGAGAACTTCCTTGGTAAAATCCAAAACAGTGCAAGAGAAAAGCCTTAATGAAAACATTCCAGTGTGTAAAGAGGAGAAGCTATGGGGGATTACTTTAAACAATATTAATTACTACCAACTTCATTTTCATAGGGAACTGACGTTGGTGGTGACTGATAATTTTTTAGCCATTTATCTGAGTAGAAATACTCCGGGATCCTTTAATTAAAATCTTTCACCTGCACTGTTGTGGGTTTTTGCCCCTTTTCCATTTTGTTTACTTAGATGTTAACCTATCAACAGTTTGTATAATCCCTCTGTTCTATTCAGTGTTTGCCTTCCTTTGTATAAGCAACACTATTATCTCCTTGGGGTTCCAATCACTGCTGACATTATTGGATTTTCTAATGAAAATCCAAGCAATTTAAAACAAAATAAGACCCTGGGTTTCAATCCGTTTTGACTCCACTGAATCACACTGAGATGTTGGTGTGTGAGCATCTACTCTTGGGTTTTCATTTTTTTATGCAGCAGAGTTCCTTTTACAGAGAAGTTTTCCTGCTTATTTTACTTATTTACAGCAACAGCAATAGCAGCATTCCAGCTATCTCTTAGTGAAATTCTCATTACAGGAATAAACACCATTTGGTTCTGTTTCTCAGAGTCTTTATTATTTACAAAAAGTTTACACTGGCTATTAATAAAGGAAACAAAACAAATAAAGCAACATAATCTTTTTTCTCTATTTAGCCATCCAGCCAGAGACCTAATGCTGACTCATTCACATTTAGACTGACCCAGACTTAGCTGATTGCACTCCCTGATAAGGACACCTGTTGCTGGGGAAATTCTCCATTGCCTAGCAACTCCTTCAAGGCCATTTGCAAGTTTCTTCTACAATATTACAACACGAGATGGCTACAAGATTATGTCATTGTTGTTGCTGTTTGTTTGTGTTAGCATTTACTTAGCACCAACAGCAAGAGATTATGTGAATCTCTTTATTCTAAAAAAAAATCACCGCATTGTTTTAGCGTGGTGGGGAGATTGAGCTCAGCCTTTCAACATGAACTTCAAAACAACAAGAAATCTGATCCTGGTACCCAGATGGATGAACTTCTGCTAGTACAACTTTAGCCAGTTCTTACTCAAGCCATGATACATTTCAGTTTGGGATCGCAGTGTACCACACATATACACATCCAGTGCTGGCACTAGATATTGTGCTGCTTAAAATGGAATCCAAATGGTGCTTTCTCCCACTCCCACATTCTAGGGCAAGCTGCAACATTCATATACCAATTCCTGCCTCCATCAGTTTGCTGCATGCCAGAGCCAGCTCTGGGCCTAACCATGCTTCAAGACCGAAAGCCAGTGGAGAAGTTATTGGAACCGAGGCAAGCTTCCTATGCAAGCATCTGCTTCTGTGAGGAGTCTGCTCATGTGAGCAGAATAGCTTAAGGTAACAGGATCTGAGGAACATTGTGGCTCCTCATTTGTGATGTAAGGATATCTATTTACCTGGGTGAAATGGCAGCAAGTAACATCTGCACTGCCTGTAAATTAGATGTTTGTTGGTAAACTATGGGGTTGTGGTACAGAGGCAGAAATGCAGCAGCAAAATAATATTAACTGATCCAGATTGAATTCAAACTAATCTAAAAATAAGCCATAAAGATGTGACGATAACAAGTTTTCTTGAACTGTCAAAGATCCATTGTATGAGTCTAATGTTAATTGCTTCAAGCACTTGTTGGAAATGATGCCCTTGAATACAGAGGCAGCTGTTCATTAATAGTCTTGTGATCTCTTGCTTTGCCATTCCCTGTGTGGAGTTCGCTGTTCCCTTTTATCTATATCAGCAGGATGTCTTCTCTTGAGTGCAGAACTAATCATGATATGAGATTTAGAGATTCTTGGTTGGTTGTGTTTTTCTTGCAAATTCTGTGCGATAGAAAAACCCAGTGTTAGTTTATGAGTTAGAATACATCCATGTGAAATGGTTTTTGCATTTAGAGCTGGACAAACAACAAGCAAAGGTGGATGTGTATTCCCAACAAACATTCTGAGAACAAAACATAACTTGCTTGTGACCAAATACCCTTGACTGAAAGGCTTGTTAGCTTGTCTCATGACAACAACCCACAGAATCAATTGCAGCGATTCCCTTCCGCTCCCCCTGTCTTTTGCCTCCATACTCTAAAAGAGTAAGACAACCCCAGTCTGCAGATACACAAACACAGCACTGGATGGCATGATTAGCTTTTGACAACACCAGGCATCTGTTTAAGAGAAGGGAGTCTGCATGATTTCTCCCTGCACCTCCAGTTGTTGATTAGTGCTGGCTAAGGCATGTACAGTCTCAGATCTAGAACCATAGATATGGCTCTATCCATATTTCAAATTATTTGTTATCAATCAAACCATGACAGTTGATGGAACCTAGTAACAGATATTCAAGGTCCTTTGGGTTATTGAGGACTTCCTGGAGGATATACGGTAGATTTAGATAAATGGATCCAGATTTTGATGTACAGATTTTGATATGGGACGCAGGTGGCGCTGTGGGTAAAACCTCAGTGCCTAGGACTTGCTGATTGTATGGTCGGCGGTTCGAATCCCCGCGGCGGGGTGAGCTCCCGTCGTTCGGTCCCAGCTCCTGCCCACCTAACAGTTCGAAAGCACTCTTAAGTGCAAGTAGATAAATAGGTACCGCTTTATAGCGGGAAGGTAAACGGCGTTTCCGTGTGCTGTGCTGGTGCTGGCTTGCCAGCTGCAGCTTCGTCATGCTGGCCACGTGACCCGGAAGTGTCTTTGGACGGCGCCGGCTCACGGCCTCTAGAGCGAGATGAGCATGCAACCCTAGAGTCGGACACGACTGGCCCGTACGGGCAGGGGTACCTTTACCTTTACCTTTACCTATAAAGAAGGCTTATCACCGAAGAATTGATGCTTTTGAATTATGGTGCTGGAGGAGACTCTTGAGAATCCCATGGACTGCAAGAAGATCAAACCTATCCATTCTGAAGGAAATCAGCCCTAAGTGCTCACTGGAAAGACAGATCCTGAAGCTGAGGCTCCAATACTTTGGCCACATCATGAGAAGAGAAGACTCCCTGGAAAAGACCCTGATGTTGGGAAAGACTGAGGGCACAAAGAGAAGAGGACGACAGAGGACGAGATGGTTGGACAGTGTTCTTGAAGCTACTAATATGAGTTTAACCAAACTGCTGGAGGCAGTAGAAGACAGGAGTGCCTGGCGTGCTCTGGTCCATGGGGTCAAGAAGAGTCGGACGTGACTAAACGACTAAACAACAACAACAGTGATGATGAATTCAGCTAGAACTCTTCTTACTAAAATATAAGTTCCCAGTTATCACAGTAAATATAAGGTGTTGAATTTCAAGGGTGATTAGCATTGCTGTTTTGCCAAATAACACAGCAAAAAACTATTGTTAGATTGACCTGGCCCTGTCATTCAAATAAGCCCAATTGACTATTAGAAAAGCAACAGCACCATGGAGAGCACCAGTTTTATATTCCTTTGGCACAATCCCCACTGAAATGAATGGCAACTGTGAGTACACTCACGGTGGGTTGTGTGTTTTTGTGTGTAAATATGAATGGCATAGATTGGACTTAACTCAGAACCATATTCCCAGTTGGTAAGGTCTACAAATATATTTACAAATCACAAAACCAATAACAGCAGCAGTTTTCTTTTATGTGTCTGCCGGGATCTTGGCTCATTGCCATTGTTGACAGCACATATTCAAATGTGTTTAGGATTCAGACCACATATAGAATCTAGGTTCCCTAACACAAAATCTAAAAATTGATGTAAAAAGAGCTGCACAACCCCAAAATATGTAGATGGTACATTTCACGGCTGCTTTGAACACGCACAAAACGGTCGTTGCCTGTATGTAAATATATGTCACAGAATCATAAAGTCATCAAATTGTAGAGTTGGAAGGGACCACTGCGAGAAGTGAGGTTACAGGGAACCAGGCAGAGGGCCTTCTTGGTAGTGGTGCCCACCCTGTGGAACGCCCTCCCATCAGATGTCAAGGAAATTAACAACTACCTGACTTTTAGAAAATATCTGAAGGCAGCCCTGTTTGGGGAAGTTTTTAATGTTTGATTCTATTTCTTATATTCTGTTGGGAAACCCAGCCAGATGAGCGGGGTATTATTATTATTATTATTATTATTATTATTATTATGTCTTGTCCAACCCCCTGCAGTGCAGGAATCTTTTTGCCCATTGTTGGGCTCGAACCCACAACCCAGAGATTTAGAGCTGAAGCCATTGTTCTGTTGTCCAAATTGTGGAGAAGGGTTGAGGAAAGTTCTAGGATTGGGGCTGTTATTCTAGTCCCACTGAACTGGGAGTAAGCCGACCGAAACTCAATGGAACTTGGTACTTAGTAGACATAATACTTTCTGCTGTAGGCCATTTATGTGTTCCTACTGCACTAAGAGCCATTGGATTGACTTGCTTCAGCACTTCACTGATTTATTTAGTGGATTTTCCCCCATTGTTTTTTTGTTAATTAAATATAAATATACATGCATGATATGCTGGTTTGTTTTCATTATGTCTTTCCATAGCAAGGCCCGAGGAAAAGAATGCAATCTGCTGAATGCTGGCTTGAGTGATTTACACCCTGTTCTACATTAACTTACAGTTCATGCCTGACTGATTTTCCTCCGCCTCTCCTAATTGAAGACCGGTCATTTATACTATTTATAATTAGTTAATGTGACAAGGATGTATGTGGTAAACAAAAGGGAGATTAGATTGAAGAAAGCAATGTAGCTAATAGATATCCTTTAATTAAAAATAAACTCTGAGCCATATTTCACACATGCTTCAAAATCATTTTGATCTTTGAGCCTTTTTTATAGTTATAATGATTGTGGAGGAAGAGTAGTAGAAAAAAAATAAAATGGGAAAATGAACCAGATAAAAGTCCTAGCCAGGTGTTTCCACTAATGCAATTCAAATTGTATGACAGCTGATTGGAAAGAGGGACAACCTGCTGACCGACAACTGAGGGATGATGAGATCAGTGATATCAGCAACCAACACAACCAACTCTTCTTCCTCAACATTTAGAAGCACAATTCAAAGTGTTGGTGCTGACCTTTAAAGCCCTAAACGGCCTTGGCCCAGTATACCTGAAGGAGCGTCTCCACCCCCATCATTCTGCCTGGGCACTGAGGTCCAGTGCTGAGGGCCTTCTGGCAGTTCCCTCACTATTAGAAGTGAGGTTACAGGGTTACAGGGTACCAGGCAGAGGGCCTTCTTGGTAGTGGCATCCACCTTGTGGAACACCCTCCCGTCAGATGTCAAGGAAATAAGCAACTATCTGACTTTAAGAAGATATCTGAAAGCAGTTTTTAAGTTTTTAAGGTTTGATGTTTATTAGTGTTTTTAATATTCTGTTGGGAGCTGTCCAGAGTGGCTGGGGAAACCCAGCCAGATGGGCAGGGTATAAATAATAAATTTTTATATTATTATTCTCATTGTGATCATACAATGTATCCCTCCTCACTTTTACCACTGAAGCTTCAAAAAATTAAGAGACCTCAGCCCATACATAGTGAGGGGGGCTTGATAGTGCTCGCCTGACTGTTGTATCCCATGACTATTGTGCTCCTTTCAATGTGTACATCGAATGCATGTCCTGCCCCAGATGTTGTGCACCCCACTGGCCCTGCCTCCCACGTCTGTGTGACATTTGAAGGGGGATCTCTGTGTGAATGGTGTTCTCTCAAAAGGGTGGATATCCAATGTACATACAGCTGTATCTCCTTTCAGATGTCATCCTGAATATACACTGTTTGGAGGCAGCTCAGTGGGACATGCAATGGGCATGGGGTTGGTGGGAGTCCTGCCTATCCCTCCATGTGTTGGATGAACTCCTCCATTTGGGCACTTCTAGGATTGTGCCCATTGCAGCTTTAGCAGTGAATCAGGCCATCCATTCTTCATGTTTTTAAAGTCTCTTTAAACAATTATCCATTGCTTGTCCAATTTTATCCTGCATTCTGAGTGCACAGAAGCTTGGAGTCAGTGAAAGGACATTTCTTAATTTAGCATGTGGTCTTGAAAATGATATTGGCAGTTTCATTTCATCAGACTGTCTGGATGGCTGAGCATTGCCTGATTAGTTATTACATTACATTATTGATGTTTTGTCACAACACTTTGGAAAGTTAATGCAGGCATGAGAGAGCACCCAAACAACAGTAAGCCTTGCTGTGTTTCTATTAAGCATATCACTTGAGTGTTTGGTGTGTATAGAGAGTGGGACTGTAAAAATCTAGTGAAATTATACTTTTCGGATGGGACTCAGAAGTGATCACAAAGATAATAGATAATAGCATTAAACAACTTTGAGTAAGCCCTTATGTTTAATATTGGTTTACAGTAATGCTTCCCTTATTTGTTTCCCCATGACACATAAAAATGTCATGCCTGCAAATTTACATATCCTGAATACTTATCTCTGTGTGATGCCCATAGTCTCTGTGGGCAACTGTATCTGCAGATGTAATTGTAGCCTCTACAATGTAAAACTCTAGGAAATGTTCTTGTAGCAGCAAGTGGTGAGCCTTTCATCTAAAGACAACAGCCCATCATTAGCTGCTAAAGTGAATCCCTGTGGCATTTTATATCCTTCCTCCACAGAAACTGTTGATAACCATTTACAAGGGTGTGTTGGTGTATTGTCGTTGTTTAAAAAAAATCTTAAGTGTGAACAATCCAACAAAAGTTAGTTGGTTTCTGACTTAAGTCCTCTTTAATGGAACCTAAGCTCAGGCAGAGCTCAAGGTTATGTAACAAACAGTACTTAATTGTTTAAAGAATTAAACTGCTTAGAGGTTTTATTACAATCAAGCAATATACATATGTTGTGAAACAAACAAATAAAATACAGGCAAATTTAACCAATTGAAGCTCCCTGCTCAGGAGACGGCACACTGAAGGGAAGGAGAAAAACACACCAATCTATGCTCCGTATCAGGTTTTTGTTGTTGTTTAGTTGTTTAGTCGTGTCTGACTCTTCGTGACCCCATGGACCAGAGCACGCCAGGCACTCCTGTCTTCCACTGCCTCCCACAGGCATAGTTAGTTATTCCTCTCTCATGCACAGCAGCTGCTTTCCAACAGTCCTATGCCATTTCTGTGGGTGGGGGTGGGGAGAGGGGTTGGGAGGGAAGGAGAGATACTAAAAATTAGGCATGCATGTTGGGAGGGCCAGTTCTGTGGTTTCCCCCACCCACCCACCTCACCCAATAGCACTATCCCATCCAAAGTGAATGGCACGTCTTCAGGAAATTTCCAGAAGCTTTGACCCACATGGCATAATGTGGTAATGTCATAATCTTCCATGGAAAAAAGGCTTCCTGAGTACTTAGGAGAAACTATACATCCAAACCAACTGAACCATGCAAGGAGATTCTCAGGGTCACACTCAAGGTCATTTCGAGCCAGTGTGGTGTAGTGGTTAAGAGTGGTGGACTTGTAATCTGGTGAACTGGGTTCGATTCCCCGCTCCTCCACATGCAGCTGCTGGGTGACCTTGGGCCAGTCACACTTCTCTGAAGTCTCTCAGCCCCACTCACCTCACAGAGTGTTTGTTGTGGGGGAGGAAGGGAAAAGGAGATGGTTAGCCGCTTTGAGACTCCTTCGGGTAGTGATAAAGCGGGATATCAAATCCAAACTCTTCTTCTTCTTCTTCCCCAAGAACCACAAATGTTTCACTCTCATATTTGTGCTCTGGTTAGCAACTACCAGCACAATTACAACGAGAATGATCCAGGGATTTCTGGCACATACACAAAGCTCCCACATGAGCAAATTCTTTCCTGTACAGCTCTTTAGGCACGCTGTCACTGATGACATCTCAACGTTCTGTCCAAGAACAGTGCCAGGCAGGATGTGTGACACTCAGACGCTGATAGGAGGAGAGAACATTTTCGCAGTTGGAAGATCCTGCGTAAGGAGAAAGGAAAACAACAAGAGCCATCATTGTGTGCGCACACATGAAGATTAAAAGTAGCAGCTAAGCTTATTTTCAATGGAACAAATAGTGCTTTGTCGCTTTACACCAGATGGCACGACTCGTGACCCACCAAGCTGAAAGTAGCCTGTCTGCATATGGAAGCATGTTTGATGCTTGACAGCCCCTATGTTTGTAAAGTCCCAAGCAAGGAGCATAAATGGGAGATTTATCAAGTCTCTGGTGGGCTTCTGGTGGGCTCAGGTTGGACTGATGCAAACCTTTCATAAATTCTGCAGACCTGTTTTATACACTGTGACAAACTGGTGGTCGTTGTTTTAATTTCAGGAAATTCACTTTTTAAAAGGATGATGCTGAGCTGATAGGCAGCTGAGTGCAAAATCTCTGTTAAGGTTTTGCTAAAACCGTGATATACACTGGGAGTGTGCACCAGCCACAATATTTTACTTGTATCTATCTGTACCTATAGCTTTTATTCTTACAGATATGAGTCTGTACCTATAGTTGTACCCAATCTGTTTAGGAGTCAATCTGTGTCTTTGATCAATTTGATCTATTAAAAATGAAGTTCAGCCATCGTCCCCCTCACCCCTTCATTATAATGGGGGATCAAAAAATAACTACAACTTCTTTTTCCTGTTCATAGAAGCTGATGAAGTTTGTAGCCATGGGAGCTGCTCCAGAGTGGATAAAGTCTGTCAAATTGTAGGTTGTTATATACAGGAGGGTTTGTGCAGGGTTTTGTGTTTATATTTAAAAAAAGAAGTCTCTTTTTATTTTCTGCCAGGTAAGGTCACCCCTCCTGAGGGGGTTGAAGCCTGACAGATTTCATAACGATAGCTGCAATGATTCTCCAACAAGGGAAAATGTTACCATTTGAGGGCATGTATAGAAGTGCAGGATTGTGGTGATGGAGAAAAGGATTTATCCAAAGCACAACTCATCCTGGACCATCAAGATTTTTACATGGGATGACAATAAAAAGTACAACCAATCACAGAATGCATTTGTGAAACCAGAGGTTAACAATTATAAGGACCCATATCTTTGATACATGTGTTTGCTCCATGGCAACACTGGAAAGCACTTGATTTTTATGTGGTTGGTTGTTGTTTTGCAGTTCAATCAATGGAGAGATTTGTAATTCAATGGAGTGATTTGATGGTTTGTGGGATGAAAACCTATGAAAGAATTATACAGTTTCAAGACAATCCATTTACTGGACTGATATGTGTGTGCGCGCGCGTGCATGCACGTGCGCACAGGTGCTATTCCCTTTGCTCTGTCTTTGGCACTACACCTCCTCTTCCTTAGCTGCTCTGTTGTCCCTCTTCCCAGTCTCCCTTTTCCCTCCTACCCTTTCCAGTCACTCTATTTGCAGTTCAGGTGTTGATCTGAGCCTTGAAAAGTGCACAGTGCTGAAAGAGGAAGTGTCACCCTTCTGTTTTCCTCTTTGAGCTCTATGTAATTTTCAAAGGGGATGCAGGTGGCACTGTGGGTTAAACCACAGAGCCTAGGACTTGCCAATCAGAAGGTCGGCAGTTCGAATCCCCACGACGGGGTGAGCTCCCGTTGCTCGGTCCCAGCTCCTGCCAACCTAGCAGTTTGAAAGCACGTCAAAGTGCAAGTAGATAAATAGGTACCGCTCCAGCGGGAAGATAAACGGCGTTTCCGTGCGCTGCTCTGGTTCGCCAGAAGCGGCTTAGTCATGCTGACCACATGACCTGGAAGCTGTACGCTGGCTCCCTCGGCCAGTAAAGCGAGATGAGCGCCGCAACCCCAGAGTTGGCCACGACTGGACATAATGGTCAGGGGGCCCTTTACCTTTAATTTTCAAAGTGTGGAAAGGTAACTGGCTGCACAACCTCGTGGCAATGAGGTGACCCAGTTTGAGAGGCATCAGAGACACCAGAGGAAGCCCGTCAAGGAAACCATTGTTGATGATCCAAGATCTTTGTTCACCTGGTATGAAGAGTCCAATGCGATTTTTCTGCTCTCACTAACCTGTGCTAGAAGAACTGTTGCAGACCTTTACCACTTGGTATGCATTAAGCTGCTTAGAGGTTAGGTCAAAAAAGAAACCACAGGGGGGAAGTAGAAGGAGAAGTTTGTTTATAAGAATATCCTAATGAAGTCCCTTCTTCCACCTTTCTGTTCAAGCCCTATTCACAAGCTTGGGAAAAGGAACCCATAGGACGTTGCTGTTCTTTTTCTGAAATCAATTCATATACATTGCTTGCGCAGGTACTAAGAATATGTGAGTCAGTTACCATCCCTTGGATGATACAGTAAGTCAGTCTTATTACTGAACAGCTAGATGGCAAGGCACAAAACTATACATGAGGAGCTTAATCATATATACTGATAAAAGGACTCCTGCGATACAAGAACAGAAATGTCTGTGAGGAAAATAGCAATTCCCTGTTCAGCGGAACAGCTTCCGTTAATCACAGGCTCCATGATAGTAACTTAGAAAGGCATCATGGAGCACAGCAGAAGCCAAATCAAACTTCTTTCGGAACAAAGCCTGCAACATTCATGCTGTCTGTGCCAGATGTGTTACGAAATCTGGCTCAATAGCTTTTATTGCCAGAGGCAAAGTAAACAAATGGCACAAGCTCGGTTGGGTAGAGCATAGTGCTGATAATGCCAAGGTTGCAGGTTTGATCCCCATATGGGACAGCTGCATATTCCTGCATTGTAGGGGGTTGGACTAGATGATCCTCAGGGTCTCTTCCAACTCTATGATAACTAACTAAGTGAAATATACTCAGAGTCGAATGTGAATTTCATGCTCTTTGTTCAGCTCACAGTAGCAATGAATGAAACTTACCCGAAAACATCTAGCTATATATATATTGTTTACACAATGGGCCCCGCATGATTGGCTAATTCTGGGCTGCTCCTGTAGGCGAATCAGGTTGCGGATTCACCTCCTCCAGAAGCCTGATTGGCTGTTCCTGCAGGCCAATCAGGTCACAGATTCACTTCCACCTGGAGCTGGATTGGGTGGCTCCTGCAGACCAATCAGACTGCTGCATTCTGGATCCTTTTGTTCTAGGATTCAGCTCAATACATTACACGAAGTTATATTGAAACCTGAGGCAAAAAATCTTATATGTCCCTCTCTCCCATCCCTGGTAGCAAAATAACAAATAACAATATACCGGTACCCAAGAGCGAATTGTTTGTTGCTGTTCCATGACACCCAAAATCAGCTGCCCAAGAGACCCTTCCTCATTCTATCTAATGGTAGGACCGGCCCTATATGAAAGGGATCTGCAAGACATCCCCCAAATTGGATCTTGCCCAATTCAGTGATCCTGATTAGGGCTTCAATTATGGTTTTAAACCTAAATTAAACCTGCAGTTGACAGCAAGGATGAGATGGGGAACTTTCCCCATGCAGATGGTTACTGGAGAGAACAGAATGTTGCATGGCAAACAATCAAGTTGATTTAAAAGTAAGATACAAAATAATGATTAATTTACATAAATCATATTCAAAAGTAAAAACTCCTTTTCATCTTTCCTTTTACTATATCCAGAATCCTAGGGATCACAGAAATTACAAATGGGGGGGGGGGAATATCATTTATGTCAATAATTGGTTTTCTCTAAATGAAACAGTGTACTGCATACTGTAATAGATCTAATTTCATGGTGATCAGACTGAATTCCCCTTAATTATACCTCATTATTCTTAATTACACACAATATCAACTTAGCTTCTCATTGCGTCAATGTTTATGCCATTCATCTGTGTGTAGGTCACTGTGTTCATTGTGGAAATGGATACGTCAGACTTGTATGTTTGGTGCGAAGAAATGTTTTGACTAAAATTCTAAAGTTCTATTTGAATATTTTTAAGTTACTTGCTTTTGGGGGTGTTCTGTTTCCCCCCCCCCAAAAAAAATTGCTTCTCCATCCTCCTTTGCTTTTAACTCTGTATGAGTTAACAGAGGGGAACTTGGGAATTCTTTCATAATATGGCGCTCTATGCAAGGCCAAAATTCGGTGTCCCCCAGTGGACCTTCTAAATTTTGCACCCCCTTGGCTCAGCACCCTGTGCGGGGAAACTGCCTGCACCACCTTAACCCAGCCTTTTGCGTATAAACAGGGACGCGGGTGGTGCTGTGGGTTAAACCACAGAGCCTAGGACTTACTGATCAGAAGGTCGGCGGTTCAAATCCCCGCGACGGGGTGAGCTCCCGTTGCTCGGTCCCTGCTCCTGCCAACCTAGCAGTTCGAAAGCACGTCAAAGTGCAAGTAGATAAATAGGTACCACTCCAGCGGGAAGGTAAACGGCGTTTCCATGCGCTTAGAAGCGGCTTAGTCATGCTGGCCACATGACCCGGAAGCTGTTCGCCGGCTCCCTCAGCCAATAAAGCGAGATGAGCGCTGCAACCCCACAGTCGGTCACGACTGGACCTAATGGTCAGGGGTCCCTTTACCTTTACCTAGTTGTTCACCTTAGTGTTCATCAACAGTTAGTTGCTGAAATGTGAAGGTGTATCTATGGCAGCCAACTGGAATGAAGTCTATTATTTTACAGCAATGGTTTCTGTACACCAGGAACATTTGCTAGCAAACCCACCCACCTACCCACCCACCCCTCCGTGACTTTGGGAGGATGAACTGACTGAAATAATGAGAGAGGCCACTGTGGAATAACAGCATGTTTCAGTGTCAGAAACCTTCCTTTAATAGACCTAGTGCCAAACAAAGACTGATGCAACCCAGATGGTAACAAAGATGTTTCACCGAGCAAAAGTGCTGCTTGGAGTTGTTATTAAAAGAGAAGGATATAACCTGCTTTGAAAAATATGTGCAAGTCAGACAGAATAGTCTTATTTTGATCAGAGATCTTCACCTTTGTGTGGGGGTAGGAGTCAGGGGGTAGCTATTGTTATAATCATAGCAAATTACTTACATTCCAAGCATTATATTGCCACTTAGCTCTAATTGAAGGATACACTTGAAGTCAAATTGCTGGATATCGGCTGGAGATAAGGATTAAATGTTCTTTTCTTCAATGCCTTTGTGACTTAAGCAAACTAAATTGTGACCTCTGTGTTTAGGTGGCTGTTTTTTCCCAATCAACAATACTCTGTCATTCTGTTGACTGTCACAAAGTGAAAAACATACATTTGGAGCATCATACATTTGTTCATTTGCTTGTCTATTTATATACTGGCTTCCTACAGAAAATGGAAGTCTTTTTGATGCAATAACAAAGAGCATTGCAAACCTGTATAAAAGAAAAGAAAGTGAACAATAAAGGATGCAAAAAAGAGAAAAGAACACACAACACAAAAAATCTTAAGACATTAACACACCATTTTTTAAAAATCTTCAAATATATCAGAAGTAGGAAAACTGAGTAGGGATAACAGGGGAGTGAAATGTGTGCCAAATAAGGATAAAGAGATTGCAGAAAAGCTGAATAAATTATTTGTGTCTGATTTCACTATAGAAGATGTAGAACAAACTTTCTCAGGACAGGAGCCTGAGAAATTTCTTTGACAAGAGATGGAGGGTATCCATCCAAGAGGTCTTAAAGATCTCAAATCCAAGTTTCAGGGCAAGTACTTTTTGGTGAAAGAATCCCAGCAGAGATCTGAAATCACAAAATATGCAGCAAAGTAAGGCATGGAAAGATAGGCTGTTAGACCTTTAAAATATGTATATCCAAGTAAGTTTCAAAATAGTCCCCTCGTCCCCCAGCATAGGAAAAGACCACATGTTTAGTAAGTTAAAAATGGTTTACTTACAAACCCTCTAAAGGTCAGGTTCATGTGCATTTTTATACATCAGTCAGAAAGGTTGCACAGGCAGTAAAACTTACTTTTGTTCCAGAGTGGTTAAAGTTCCTAAATTATTGGCACAAGAAGTCAAGAGCCATGCGGTCTGAGCTTGGAGCAACCAGGTCAGACCTCCTCACAAATTGAGCTTCTCAGATAGACTAGAAGT